GAACACCGAGCCCTGGCTCGAATCCCCTCTTCCAGGACCATAGATGTCACAGCCTTGGCCCTGTTTTGCCAGCCCGAGACTGGGAGCAAGGGCACCTGTCCTCCCACAGAGGGAGACCCCGGGGTGAAGGTGTGGGAGGAAGCTGGGACCCCCAGGAGGAACCGAGCTCAGGGCCTGGGGGTCCTGGCATTGGGCAAAGGCAGGCGACTTGAGGGCTTGCCTGTCCCCGGCTCACATGGCTCAGCCCTACAGATAAGAGAGGTGGGGGTGTCTGGGCCTTCAGGGGTTCCACTGAGTACCCAGGCAGAGCAGACGACATTCAGGGCTGGGGGACTCAGGCACTCACTGGATGGACAGACGGACAGACACCTGCTGTGCCAGGCCTGCCAGACCCTCCGTACACAGCACTGGTTTCTTCCTGAGGCTAGTGGCTGGCTAGGGGCCTCTCCACGTGCTCATGGCCAAGACAGTCGGCCAGGCCAGCCGCAGTCCCATTCTGCTCCAAGTCGGGTCTGTAAAAGCAGCTGACTGCAGCCTGTGCAGCCGCTCGGGCCGGGTCTCAGGCATCCACTCTCTGACCCCCGTCCCCACCTGGCCTTGGCGGGCGCAGGAGCGGGATGCTGCGGCGGCGGGCGCAGGAAGAGGACAGCACCGTCCTGATCGATGTGAACCCCCCTGAGGCAGAGAAGAGGGGCCCTTATGGGAGCACAGCCCACGCCTCAAAGGTAACAGCGCCCAGAAGGCCCTCCCCTGGCTGTGTCTGTGCCCCCACCCTGGGCCCAGAGCTTTTTGGGGGTGGATGGGCATCACCGTGTTTCCCTGGCATCCCCTGGCAGCCCCAAAGCCCTCGCCACCCTGTCCTCAGCACACAGTCGGATCGCCGCCCACCCTGGCCCGGTCAGGCTGCGGAGAACTGAGCAGATTCCGCTGATGTTCAGACAGGAGTCCCGGGAGGGTGAGCAGGGCCTGGCCAGGCAAAGGCAAGGCCAGGGCAGGGCCACAGTGGCACCCAGGTCCATTTGTCACCGGGAGGCCACTGTGGGGAGAAGCTGGGTCCCAGGCCCTAAGGCCATGCAGGAGGCCCTGACCATGGAGGGCCCTCTTCCTGGTCCTCCTGGGCCCCATGTCTGCTGTTTGCCCCAGCAGCCCACAGGTGGACATGGGGTCTCTTCCTGCCGCCCCAAGCACAGCTGAGATGAGCCTCCAGGGAGGGCACAGGGCCTCTCACCCGGAGCACCCAGACACTCAGTCGCCACGGCCACCTCTGTTCTCAGGGCCACTTTGGGAGCAGTGCGGCTCCCTCTCCCTGGAGAGGACCGGCACCCTGGTCCTCGCCATGCTTCCTGCCAACCTGACCCTTGCCATGGGCCTGGCCCAAAGAGAAGGGGAGCCGGCTGGAGGCGCAGGGCTGCCGGTGCCCTCTGGCCCTGCCTACCACCCCCCGTGCCTCCGTGTCCTGTGCCCACATGCAACGGAAGGGCTTCCCCAACCTTGACCCCCAACCCCCAAACATTCTTCTGTGGTCCTGAGTGTCCTGGGGCAGGGTGGGGTGGGATGGGTATAGTCATCCTGGGCAGATGCTGATATGCTCCTGCCTCCTCCATGCCTTCCAGCCAGGTAGACAGCAGGTGGCTGGCTGCGGAGCTGGGAGCCCTGCCAAGCCCCGGATCGGTGAGCCCCTCCCAGCATCTGTACCATGCCCGTGTTGGTCCTGAGGGTGGGGACAGCTCTGGGGTGCCCACAGGGGCAGCAGGCCAGGGTGGCCTCCTCAGTAGCCAGGTGCTTGGGGGCCAGTTGCACTGGGGTGAGGGCCTGGGGTGAGCAAGCCCCAGTGGAAAGAACAGCAGGAAGGGGAGCTCCCTTCTGATGGGGTGGGCCGGGAGGGCTCTGGAGAGCAGACTGGGCGGCCCCTGCCTCCTCCTCCCGTCCCCTCCACCATCCTCTAGCTGTTGAGTCACAGCTCAGGCCGGTTCTGGCTCTTATCTCTTGCACCCCACCCCTTTTGTACCTTCAAAATCTCTTTGATCCACCCCCAACCCACTGCCTATTCCTGCCTGGAGCTACCACCGACTCCCCGGGGATTGCACAGGCTCCAGCTGGGCTCCCAGCACTCACCCCGCCAGCCTGCTGTCCCCCCAGCACCAGAGAGACCCTAACCTACCACTAGGGTGGCTGCTACTTAAAATCACACGTGTTGATGAGGATGAGCAGGAACTGGCTGACTTGTGCGTTGCTGGAGGGAGTGTAAAATGGTGCAGCTGCTGTGGAAGACAGCAGTTCCTCTGAGGATTAGGCGCACAGGTCCCATAAGAGCCAGCACGTCCACCCCGGATGAGCGCTCGCAAGCACTGAATTTGGGTCCCGGGTGGGGGCTCCCAAGCGCTGGATGTGGGCCCTGGGCGGGGCTCACCAGCACTGGATGCTGACGCCAGCTCATTACCCCTGCAGTGTCATCCACTGTGGCTGGAAGGGGTGCATTCCTCTGCTGGGCCTGTCATAAGAAGTACTACAGCCCTCGGGGCTTAGATGGCAGAACTTTCTTTCTCCCAGTATGGGGGCTGAACTCCAAGGTGAAGGTAGCAGGGATGGTGGCTCGCAGGGGCCTCTCTCTGGCTGGCATACACACCTTCTCCCTGTGTGCTCACACCCTGGGGCTCTTCCTCCTCTAAGGACCCTGGTTGTGGTGGATGAGGGCCCACCCTAATAGCCATCAAGTCTCCTCGATGACTTAATCTGCAAATACAGTTACATTCTGAGGACTTCGGGTTGGGTCTTTGATATTCAAATTTTGGGGAAACATAGTTCAGCCCATATCAAGGTGGAAGCGTTCACCTACAGATCAGCAAAATGTGGCATTTACATCCAGCGGATTTATTCAGCCTGAAAAGGCGGAAATTCTGACACAGGCTGTGCAGGGGACGAGCCTCGAGGACGTTGTGCTACGTGAACTCAGCCAGTCACAAAAGGACAAACGTGACTGCACTTGTCTGAGGCCCCAGAGAGTGGAATTCAGAGAGGGAGGGCAGACTGGTGGGCACCAGGGGCTGGGGAGCGGAGGGGGAGTTAGTGCTTCGTGGCTGTTTTGTAAGATCGGAAGAGCCCTGGGGATGGACGGTGCTGATGGCCGCCCAAGAATGTGAATGTCCTAATGCCAACCACCTGGACACTACTTAGAAGTGGTTAAGATGGTTTTTTGTTTGGTTTTCTTTTTGTTTTTCTTCTTTTTTGGGATGAGTCTCACTCTGTCACCCAGGCTGAAATGCAGTGCCTCCATCTCAGCTCACTGCAACCTCTGCCTCGTGGGTTCAAGAGATTCTCCTGTCTCAGCCTCCTGAGTAGGTGGGAGTGCAGGTGCGTGCCCACGCCCAGCTAACGGTTGTATTTTTTAGTTGAGATTCGGTTTCACCATGTTGGTCAGACTGGTCTTGAACTCTTGACCTCAGGTACCTGTCTCGGCCTCCCAAAGTGCTGGGATTACAGGCGTGAGCCACTGTGCCCAGCCACAATAAGATATTTTAGGAGAGAGAGACAGAGTGCCCACGTTCTCATAACTTTTACTATAGTATATTGTTATATTCAGTTATTGTTCATCTCTTACTGTACCTAATTCATAAATTAACCTTTACCACAGGAGTGTGTATCATGGGTGTGTACCTGTCGTAGCTATGTACAGCAAAAGGCAGTATATACAGGTTTGCTGCTCTCCAATTTCAGGCATCCACTGGGCTGTGCAGATAAGGGGGGACTCGGCCGTCCTTACTCCTCAGCATGGGCTGAGAGTCTCCGCTGGAGGACCAGGGTGTTTCAGCCAGAGCTCAGATTCCCCAGCAGGTGTATCCTCTAGAATCTTTGTCAACCATCGGCCTCCAGCAGCTGCTTAGTGTGTGAATAGCTCGGTGCTCCAAGGCCTGGGGGATTGTCTCACAGACCTGGTGGTTCCGTCTTCTTCCCAAGCTCCCCCCTTTGCAGAACCTAATTCAGATGCCCACTGGCTTCACCCACCAATGCCTCTGCTTGGGCTCTGTTGCCCTGCCCTGTGGTTTGGGAAATGCCCCAGGAAGAAAGCCAGAGTGAAGGCAGGGCTCGCCTCGCACGCTCCTCTGCTTGCGAAAGTCTGCGCCCAGCAGCCATTGCCATCTCATGCCAGAAAAGCAGGGGCTTTGGAAATTTTCTCCAGCTTTGATGGTTCTCTAGCAGCAAGGGAAGTCTGAAAGTGACTTAACCTGAAGTCCCTGAAGACCCCTTTAGGAGTCTGGGACTTATCTGCAGGGGTGGGAAGCCATAGCAGGGATCTCAGCGGGCCCCGCCCCAGCCCCTCTCCAGGCCTCCGTTCCCCACCCAGGCCGATGCGGGGCTGTCCTAGAACTCGGAAGGCTGGGACCAGGGAGGGGAGCGTCCAGTGCCTGGCTCCCCCTTGCGCCCCACTGGGATGCTGGCAGCCCTTCCCCGGGCCGGCAGCCGCCACTCAGCCATGCTCCCGCCTCTGTCCCTGTTGGTTCCCAGCAGACTTCGTCCTGGTTTGGGAGGAAGACCTGAAGCCAGACCGGCCGCAGGACAGTGCTGCCCGGGACAGAACAGACGTGCACAGGACCTGGCGGGAGACCTTTCTGGATCATCTCCGTGCTGCTGGGCTGCGAGTAGACCAGGTGTGTGGAGGTGGTCACGTGACTCATGACCTTGCCACTCTGAGGGCATGGTGTCCAGAGCCCTGGAGCAGATCAGGCCCCAAAGTCCTGCTGGACACCCCACCTACTGTGAGCTCCCTGTGGCTGGGCAGCTGCTGCCCACGGGCTGGGGTAAACACTGATCCCTCCTGGCACACAGCTCCTGCATGGAAGTCAGAGCCCTCAGGGGTTCTGACACTACCTTTGACATTCAGCCGTCCCACCTCCAACATCAAAGCCTTGTGTAGACGTGTCATTTGTGATTATGACTCTCAGTGTGCTTACAGAATTAACAGCTTAAAGAGTCCTTTCACAGGCTAGGCTCAGTGACTCACACCTGTAATCTTAGCACTTTGGGAGGCCGAGGCAGGCGGATCACAAGGTCAGGAGTTCGAGACCAGCTGGCCAATACGGCCAATATGGTGAAACCGTGTCTCTACTAAAAATACAAAAAAAATTAGCTGGGCGTGGTGGCGCATGCCTGTAATCCCAGCTACTCAGGAGGCTGAGGCAGGAGAATTGCGTAAACCTGGGAGAAGGTTGCAGTGAGCCGAGCTCGCACCACTGAACTCCAGTTCAGCCTGGGGACAGAGCGAGACTCTGTCTCAAAAAAAAAAAGTCCATTCACATGTTTGATTTCAGTAATAATGGAAGGTACCATTTAGAATCATTTAAGCAACAGGTCCAGGGAGCGTGAGAAACAGGAACCAGCTGTGAGGGTGCTGGGTGTGCGGGTGCAGGCGGGGCTTGGAGCAGCTGGTGATTGGGGCACAGAGCCCAGCTCTCACCCTGTGGCGTCCCTGCCCCTCACTGCCAGGTCTGTCCACGCGGCTCCCTCCTCCTGCACCCTCTTCCCACCACCTCCCTCTGTTCCCCAGGAGCAGGCTGTGCTATCACCTGTCCTCTCCCTGTCCGCAGAGTCATCAATCCTGAGTTTTATGTTAATCACACTCGTGATTTCTTTACCATTTTAGCACCAATTTCACATCATCAGGCAATTCAGCCTGGCTCTGTCTGTTTGAGCGTGGCAGAGCAGAATCGTGCATGGGGCCATTCCTGTGGTGAGGCCCGCCCGTGTGGTCATTCCATCGGAGACCGCTGCTCCAGGCCCGCCCTCACCCTGCCGCAGGCAGCTCCGCGTGTGAATGCACCAGCCTTTGCTTATGGATGCCTGTGAGAGTGGACATCTGACTTGTTCCCAGTCCGGGATGATTGTGAAAATCAGCTGCTGTCAGTTGATTCGTGTGTGTGCCCGTGTGCAGGAGCCTCTCCTGGGAGCAGGGGTTCCGGGCAGCGGCATGTGCACATGGCCACCCCACTCCCCCATATGGCGGCCACCATCTGCAGTGGGCTGAGGCCCCTTGCTCTGTGTCTTCTCAACACTCGGTACTGTAGACTTTTATCATTTTACCAATCAGTTGGGACACAGTGGTGGCTCACCATGGGGGGTGTGTGTGTGTGTGTGTGTATTTTTGAGATTGGAGTCTCACTCTGTTGTCCAGGCTGGAGTGCAGTGGCAAGATCTCAGCTCACTGCAACCTCCACCTCCCGGGTTCAAGAGATTCTTTGGCCTCAGCTTCCTGAGTAGCTGGGATTACAGGCACCCGCCACCATGCCCAGCTACTTTTTGTATTTTTAGTAGACATGGGGTTTTGCCATGTTGGCCAGGCTGACCTCAGGTGATCCACCCACCTCGGCCTCTCAAAGTGCTGGGATTACAGGTGTCTGCCGCCACCCCTGGCCTCACCATGGTTTTCATTTGCATGTTCCCTGCTTTTTAACTGTCACTTTAGGTTCAGGGGCACATGTGCAGGTTTATTACATGGGTCAGCTCATGTCATGGATTCGTTGGACAGACTATTTCACACCCAGGCACTTACTACACAACAGTTATTTTTTCTACTCCTCTCCCTTCTCCCTCTCTCCACCCTCAAGTAAACCTCAGCATCTGTTGTTCCCTTGTGTCCACATCTTATCGTTTAGCTCCCTCTTATAAGTGAGAACATACAGTATTTGGTTTTCTGTTCCTGAAAAGTTTGCCAAGGATAGCGGCCTCCAGCTCCATCCACCTTCCTGCAAAGGACATGCTCTTATTCTTGTTGATGGCTGCGTAGTATTCCATGATGTGTGTGTGCCACCTCTTCTTTATCCCGTCCACCACTGATGGGCATTGAGATTGATTCCCTGTCTTTGCTGTTGTGAGCAGAGCTGCAGGCTGAGCACTCTTCACACTTATGGTCCATTTCTGTTTCCAACACTGTGAATTGCCTTTTTGTGTCTTTTGCCCTTTTTTCTATTGGGTCACTTGCTTTTTTCTTTTTTTTCTTGAGACAGGGTCTTGTTCTATTGCCCTGGCTGGAGCACAGTGGTGCAATCACGGCTCACTGCAGCCTCAATTTCCCGAGGTTCAAGCCATCTTCTCAACTCAGCCTCCTGAGTAGCCAGGACTACAGGCCCACACGACCATACCCAGCTAATTTTTTTTAGTTTCTGTAGAGATGAGGTGTCACTTTGTTGCCCTGACTGGTCTGGAACTCCTGGGCTCAAGCAATCTGCTTGCCTTGGCCTCCCAAGTCACCTGCCTTATTTTTTTGAGACAGGGTCTGACTCTGTCGCCCAAGCTGGAGTGCAGTGGTGCAGTCTTGGCTCACTACCACTGTCTTCCGGGTTCAAGCATTTCTCCTGCCTCAGCCTTCTGAGTAGCTGGGATCACAGGTGTGTACCACCACACCCGGCTAATTTTTGTATTTTTACAAAAAGAGATGGGGTTACCCCACGTTGATCAGGCTGGCCTCGAGCTCCTGACCTCAAGAGATCTGCCAGTCTCAGCCTCCCAAAGTGCTGGGATCACAAGCATGAGCCACCACAGCCGGCCCCACCTGCCTTCTTTTCCTTATGAAGGCTTAGGAGCTTGTTGTCTGTTCTTGCCATTAGCCATTGCTGGTTCATGTGTGACAGACATCTTTCCCCTGTCCTGGCTGGCTCACGTGGCCATCATGGTGTCCTGGTTGGTTGTGACCTGCCGTGGACTGTTAGCCCTGCGTCCGACTCCCTCCACTTTCCGTGCCTTTCTTCCCCTCGCTCACCTCATTCCCATGTGTCCTATGCCTTGTCCAGAACACACATGGAGCAGCCCCCACTTGCCATTCATCCTCCCCACCCCAGGCTGCCACCCCCGCTATCCCTGGCTTCCTTCCAGGGCCTTCTCAGGTGTTGGCACATGGAACCCACAGAGCTACCAGCCCCCTACTCCTGAGTTTGGACCGGCCTCAGAGTCTGGGAGGCAGAGATGAAAAGACAGCTGCCTTTACGGTAGAAAAGGCTGATGGGATGGTGTGGTCCCATGAGTCTGCAAGGTCATCATCCAGACTTGGATAGGGCTGCTCTTCAGCTGAGGGCGGGGGGACTACTGCAGGGGACGCTACTGGCCCCAGCACACTGCCCAAGGTGCGCCCGGTCTTCAGTCCACAGGACGGCTCCCAGCATTCCATGCACATCGCAGCCAGCCGGGCCCAGTTCTGCCCTCCATTCTTCCACCTCGCCCAAGGTGGGGCTGGGGCTTTGGCATTTGGGGAACCCCAGATGGCTGTGAGGAACATGAGGGCTGAGGACCCCTGGACTAAGGGCATGGCTGAAAAGCATTTACACACTCAGAGGAGGCACTTGTCTATTAGACTGAAGATCCCGGTCTCAAGCCACCCCGGGCTCCAGGAGCGCCTGTCACATGTTGGCACACATGCACAGACAGCAGTCCACGCATACACACACACACACACACACACACACACACACACAGAGAAATGGGTTTGTGGACAACATGCATGTACACCGGGTGACTGATCAAAGGTGAGGTGACCTTTCAATATTGAAAACGAAAAGCTGGAGGCGCTGCCCCTCAAGCCAGGAGGTGGGCAGGGGTCAGCATGGTCTGGCCAGCTGGGGGAGGCTGCAGGTGACGCCCGCCCCAACAGCGTGCTGTGTCTGCTGTGAATCTGTTGCTGGGGCCCACTCCCACATGGGGGCTGTCAGGCCAGGCTGGCTTTCAGGGGCACCACCGTGGGAGCAGATGTCATAGCTCAAATGGGAGATTCAAAGCTGGTGGTTACCAGGGCTACAGAAATGCCAGGCTTTTCCTGAGAGTTCGAATGGACACACATGTGCACACGTGTCCCGCACATGCACCCTCAGGCTCTCACGGGGCCCTGGGTGCCTGCAGCTTGACGTCCAGGATGGGGACAGCGCAGTGCACTATGCTCTCCTCAGCGCCTCCTGGGCTGCTCTCTGCTACTATGCCGAAGACCTGCGCCTGAAGCTCCCCCTGCAGGTACGTGGGAAGGTCAGGTGTGGGGCCCTCACCAGGGTTATTTGCTCCCCTAATACCGAGGTCAGCGACGCGGACAGCCCTGGGAGGGCTCCTCCTACCCACCCCAACACCAGGCCCCAAGAAACCTCGCTGGGCAAACAGGGCAGGTGGTGGCCCCCCGAGGTGGGCTCATGGACGGTGGAGCCAGGTGAACAGTGTGTATGCACTGAGCTGACCGCTCCGAGCCCAGGGCCCTGCTGAGGACCTGGGGTAGAGAAGACTGGCTCCCGGTGACCTCAGGAAGACATGCCTGGATGAGGTCCACCACCCACTGCATGTGCTGGCCTTGACCCTCATGGCATGTGGGTGGCAGAGACACCCTATTCACTGTTCCTGTCCCTTTTCCACTCAAGGGGCTCTGGGCCACAGACTGACAAGCTGAGCGGCCTCAGCCTGTGGCCCTGAGGGGGGAAGGGCTCGCCTGGGCCCTGAGACGGGGAGAGGGGCTCACCTGGGCACTGAGAGGGGGGAGGGGCTTGCCTGGGCCCTGAGAGGGGGAGGGCCTCGCCTGGGCCCAGAGAAGGGGAGGAGCTCCTTGGGCCCTGAACAGGGGAGGGGCTCACCTGGGACCTCAGAGCAGGGAGGGGGGCTCACCTGGACCTCAGGAGGGAGGGGCTCCCTGGGTGCTGGCAGGGCTGCCGCACTCATTCCCTCTGCTGGTGCCCCTTCACCCATTGACCAGTTTGCAAACTTGCACAGCCTCCACCCCGACCTGGGGGATTTGCCCTCCCCTCGGGAGTGGGAGGAGCCACCGACGTTTCCTTCCAGGAGCTACCCAACCAGGCCTCCAACTGGTCGGCTGAGCTGCTGGCGTGGCTGGGCCTCCCCAACATTCTGCTGGAGGACGTGCCCGATGTGCCCCCCGAGTACTACTCCTGCCGGTTCAGAGTGAGCAAGCTGCCACGGTGAGGCAGGGGCCCCACCGCGGAGCGAGTGGGACTCGGTGGATGAGTGAGCGGGCTAGGTGCTGCCCCCAGACTCTCCTCACTGGCATTTTTGGCGGGGAACTGAAGCCAGGTGGGCGCGCTCACTGCGTGTATTTCCAGAAGCCGCTGCATCAGCCAGGCCAGGCCAGGGCGGTCGTGCTGCTGGACAGACCTGCCAAGGCCTAGTGGCTGGACATGCAAGATCCAAGTCCCACCAGGCACATTTGTCGTGGGGCAGCACGGTACCCGCTCACCACGGTCTCTTGGGGCCTGGGCGACTGTGGACACAGAAAACAGGGATGTGTTCGGCCCATGCTGGCTCCCAGTTCTCCCTCCTGGAAACTACACCTGTGTTGTCCCCACAGAAATGACTAGGCAAAGCCAGTCCCTCTGGCACCAGGCCACAGACTGCAGGAGCCCAGAAGTGGCAGGGATGCTGTCGGGGGCCAGTGCCGAAGGTGGCCTTTCTGCCACATGGGATGCCTCCTTTAGGGGCTGGTGGGAAATTCAACCACCCATGGCTTCCCGAGATTCCGGTTTCCCAGGGAGGCCCCCGCCCAGCCACTGTCCACACTGCCCGAGCACACCCTTGGCCCAGTGCCGGAGCTTCGGGGCAGCACACAGGATGGGGGGGCGCAGCCTGGTCCTCTGCACCGCCCTGCCCTGTGCCCAAACGCAGTTCAGGTCCCCCTGCCCTGTGTGTGGTGAGGGGGCCTGGGTATCTGGGGCCCGCTGTGGCCTCCTGTTCCTGGGGAAGGCCGGAGGCCACCTGGTCTCCCGGGGTGAGGACTGTGTGCGCAGGCGTGTGCTCCTGCACCTGTGCCCCAAACGCTCTGCACTGTTCACATGCCCACAGCTTCCTCGGGAGTGACAACCAGGACACCTTCTTCACAAGTACCAAGAGGCACCAAATTGTGAGTGGGCGTCCCTGCTGCGGCCCCAAACCTGGACCCGGATCTGAGGATGCTGCCAGCTCCCAGCCTCCGTGGATGCAGGAAGGCTCAGTTGAGATCAGAGGGTGGAGGCGGAGGCCTGGAGGCTTTGGAGGCTTTAGAGGCTGACCTTACCTCACTATACAGGGCAGGCCATGGCCTGGGATTGGGGCGGGGTGGGGAAGGGCCCAGTGCCTCTCCAGGACCCCAGGGCTCAAAATAGATATTGGATTTATGGACCAGTGGGACAGCTGAGACCAGCCCCAGGCAAGGTGGATCCTGCTGGCTGGGAGCAGACCCGCCCTGACTGTCCTCCAAGGATGGGTGGCAGCAGGTGCAGGCAACCCGGCAGGAGGCTGGCTCTGAGGCCTGTGGGCAGGAAAGGGCCAGGCCAGGCCTGCCCAGGAGAGGCCCTGCTGACCACCATGGAGACACAATCCCGTGGGCTGCCCAGCCCACAATCCCATGGGGGGCAGGGCACACCCTGGACACAGCTGACTGTCAGGCTACTGTGTTTACCGTCACCCAGGGTGTGGGTCCAGAGTGGGCTGTGCACAGCCAGGTGGGGCCCAGCTTAGAGTGCAGACTCAACCCTACATGGTGTGTGGCTCTGGTCAAGGCCTCCGAGCCTGCAGAGTGGGAGAGTGAACGCCACCCAGTGCAGGGGCGTCCTGAGTATGAGGTGGTGACACAAAGCCCCAAGCCTTTCCGTTAGATAGCTGTTGTCACCAGAAGGCTGCGGGAGGCCGTCCGTGGCCTTGGCCTGAAGACAGGCTAGTGAGGATGTGTCACGTGACAGGTGACCTCCGCCATCCTCCACACCCCCTGCAGCTGTTTGAGATCCTGGCCAAGACCCCGTACGGCCACGAGAAGAAAAACCTGCTTGGGATCCACCAGCTGCTGGCAGAGGGTGTCTTTAGCGCGGCCTTCCCACTGCATGATGTGAGTTAGGGGCTAGGGGCTCCAGCCTGGGCATGGGAGGTGGGTTCCCTTGGGTCCTGCTGGCCCCCAGGGAGGTGGGTGTGGGGCAGGCATAGTAGCTGGCACCCAGGAGTCAGAACACTAAACGCACACACATTTGGTGACATGGCAGGCCATGCCGTGGCCCTTCCAGGGCCTCAGGTCCAGCTCTGCTGGGACTACAGCCCACCCTGTGGTGCCTAACATGGGAACAGGCTGGTCCCTGGGGTCTACATGCTGCTGCTCAGGCTCTCTGAGTAGCTTATCTTGCTGGGAAAGACAGTGAGGTCTCCTGTCCCCCTCCAGAAGCTGGGTAAACTGAGGCAATGCCAAAGAGGGCACTGACCACAGCAGCTGCCGCTGCACCTGTTCCTGTCAGCCTCAATCATCCCTGAGAAAACAGCGGCCTGGGGGGCAGGAAGCTATTTACTCACCCCCCCCACTGGGTCTCCCCCTCAGCTGAGCAGGGGAGGGGCATCACAGGCACCCAGGGCATCAGGGTCTTGGTCAGACCCGAGCCCACTGCTGCGTGGCCGTGGGGCCAGTCCTGCCCCAGCGCCGTCATGAGGGTAAAATGAAAAGTGGGTGTGGAAATGCCAGGTGTCCCACCTCACTGGGGCGGTGCAGCCCCTCCTACCAGCCAGGGCTCAGGACGCACAGCACGGAACACCAGCCTGGGGAATCTCCAACCCAGAGACGGTGCTGGGCCTGGACCAGACCACTGGCTTCTCCCAGGGTGGCCTCTCCAGGCCCTTCAGCCCAGGAGTCAGAGGGGCCTCGCCACAGAGAGGTCCTACCAGACTACCCCGAACCCACCTTCCACATGATTCTATTGTTTTTTTTCACGTGGCAATCCCAAATTCCCAGGCTGGTCTGCCCATGTCCCATGAAGCCCCCGCACCTACAACAGAGCTCAGGGGGTTAAATAGAGGGAGCCTCCCACCCACAGGCCTCTCGTCCCCAGGGCCCCTTCAAAGCACCCCCAGAGGGCCCACAGGCTCCGCGCCTCAACCAGCGCCAAGTCCTGTTCCGGCACTGGGCGCGCTGGGGCAAGTGGAGCAAGTACCAGCCCCTGGACCACGTGCGCAGGTACTTCGGGGAGAAGGTGGCCCTCTACTTCGCCTGGCTCGGTGAGTCCCCTCGCTGGCCCCAGACCGCCTGGGCTCCCCCAGCTTAGCTTGTCTCAGGTGGTAACAGTTTGCTAGTTCGTGCCCCTGAAGTGCAGCGTGCACGGGAGTTTGGCCGGTGGGCGAAGCTCTCGACCTGGCCTCACTGACTCCCAATGGGCTGCGCTCCTGGCTCCCACCCAGCCCAGTCACTCTAACTGGGTGCCATGACTACGCTGCCTCTGGCCTTCTTGTGCCCCAGCAACAGTGCTGAGAACCCCTTCTGAGGGTGGGGGGTCTCTCCTGACTCCCTCCCCGACTGTCACTGACTCCCCAGATGCAATCCATGAGGCCCTGGGGCCACTCTAGGAACATCCATCCCAGGGAGGTCGTCCCTGCCTGGGTCCAGGCCAAGCCTCTCACCTCCAGGCAGGTCAGCACCTTCTAGATGTCCATCTGTCTGCCCTAGGCAGCCCCAGGGCCGTTCTTCCTGGGTCCCGACTGCCCTCACCCTGCTCCACTCTCAGTGCGCTCCCTTCCCCATCCTGGGTCAGCCCTAACCCTTTCATTCTGTACTCCAGAACTTCCAAAGGCCTTTCTCATCCCCACACACTGCCCCACAGTGGACCCAGACAGTGATGCTGGCTGGGGCAGTGGGCGGGGCTGGCGGCTATGGAAGGACAGCCGGGGCACAGTCTTTCGGCAGAGGCATACCCCTGTGTGCCAGGACCCACCTGGCCGTCTCGGGGCCCGAGCACCCTGCTGGGACAGCACGCCAGGCTGGGGGCGGCTGGGGTGGCTGGGGCCTCTGGGGCAAGTAGGGCCAAGGCTGCATCTGAGCTCCAGGCAGACGCGTTTCACAGCAGTCACTGGCAAGCAGAGGAAGGCAAGAGACAGGACACCAGGTCCGGGTCGGGACTAGTCCCATGGAGGCAGATGGGGGTGCATGCTGAGGGCCTGGGGTAACAAGGGTATGTGCCTCTGGTTAGATGAGGCAGGGGCCAGTGTGGGGGTTGGGTGGTGGGGAGCGAGGCACCCGGAATGACCTGCAGTTTCCCTGGGGCTGGAACAGGAGGGTGCAGTCCTCGGTTCTGTGGTGAGCAGGCCGTGGAGGGACTTCTCCCGTCCATCCCAGGCAGGTTGGTTAGAGTGAGGAGAGGCATCCAGAGGTGGAAAGCCGGGTGGGCTGGAGCCCTGGGAGTGCTGGTGTCAGTCATGTGGCAGGGGTGTCCAGAGTCTAGGGCAGAGGCCCAGGGGTGTGGGGCCATGCCACAGCTGCCAGGGAGAGCTGCGCCCCTCTTGGCTTCCTCACATTGGGCCCCAGCCCCCTAGCTGGGCGGAGAGTGGGTCCCTGGGGGACAAGCATGGCTGTGCAGACCCCTACCTGGGCCCCATGCCTGGGTTTCTAATGGTGGACCCCTGCCGTCCCCATGCAGGGTTCTACACCGGCTGGCTCCTGCCAGCAGCAGTGGTGGGTACGCTGGTGTTCCTGGTGGGCTGCTTCCTGGTGTTCTCAGACATACCTACGTGAGTGTTCTGTCAACACAGCTCTGGGGCCCGGTGCTGAGCCTCCAGAGGGGTGTGGGGCAGGGGGACCCTGTGCAGGGGAAGGGTCTGTGCAGAGAACTGGTGATTGAGGGGATTGATGAGCACATGCCTGTCCTCAGGAGTGTCATAGAGAGCCCTGTGGACGTGGCTGACAGGCTGGCAGGTGGGCAGGAGTGCTCCCAGTCTGACACAGGTGAATAAGAATGCTCCCAGGCTGACACAGGTGGTCAGGAGTGCTCCCAGGCTGACACAGGTGGGCAGGAGTGCTCCCAGGCTGACACAGGTGAATAAGAATGCTCCCAGGCTGACACAGGTGGTCAGGAGTGCTCCCAGGCTGACACAGGTGGGCAGGAGTGCTCCCAGGCTGACACAGGTGGGCAGGAGTGCTCCCAGGCTGACACAGGTGGGCAGGAGTGCTCCCAGGCTGACACAGGTGGGCAGGAGTGCTCCCAGGCTGACACAGGTGGGCAGGAGTGCTCCCAGGCTGACACAGGTGGGCAGGAGTGCTCCCAGGAGGACACAGGTGGACAGGAGTGCTCCCAGGCTGACACAGGTGGTCAGGAGTGCTCCCAGGCTGACACAGGTGGGCAGGAGTGCTCCCAGGCTGACACAGGTGGACAGGAGTGCTCCCAGGCTGACACAGGTGGGCAGGAGTGCTCCCAGGCTGACACAGGTGGACAGGAGTGCTCCCAGGCTGACACAGGTGGGCAGGAGTGCTCCCAGGCTGACACAGGTGGACAGGAGTGCTCCCAGGAGGACACAGGTGGACAGGAGTGCTCCCAGGCTGACACAGGTGGTCAGGAATGCTCCCAGGCTGACACAGGTGGACAGGAGTGCTCCCAGGCTGACACAGGTGGGCAGGAGTGCCCCCAGGAGGACACAGGTGGTCAGGAGTGCTCCCAGGCTGACACAGGTGGTCAGGAGTGCTCCCAGGAGGACACAGGTGGGCAGGAGTGCTCCCAGGAGGACACAGGTGGACAGGAGTGCTCCCAGGCTGACACAGGTGGGCAGGAGTGCTCCCAAGAGGACACAGGTGGACAGGAGTGCTCCCAGGCTGACACAGGTGGGCAGGAGTGCTCCCAGGAGGACATAGGTGGTTAGGAGTGCTCCCAGGAGGACACAGGTGGACAGGAGTGCTCCCCGGCTGACACAGGCTGGCAGGAGTGCTCCCAGGCTGACACAGGTGGTCAGGAGTGCTCCCAGGCTGACACAGGTGGTCAGGAGTGCTCCCAGGCGACAGGTGGACAGGAGTGCTCCCAGGCTGACACAGATGGTCAGGAGTGCCCCCAGAAGGACGCAGGTGGTCAGGAGTGCTCCCAGGTGACAGGTGAATAGGAGTTCCCCCAGTCGGACACAGGTGAATAGGAGTGCTCCCAGTCGGACACAGGTGATGAATAGGAGTTCCCCCAGTCGGACACAGGTGAATAGGAGTGCTCCCAGTCGGACACAGGTGATGAATAGGAGTGCCCCCAGTCGGACACAGGTGAATAGGAGTGCTCCCAGTCGGACACAGGTGAATAGGAGTTCCCCCAGTCGGACACAGGTGAATAGGAGTTCCCCCAGTCGGACACAGGTGAATAGGAGTGCTCCCAGTCAGACACAGGTGAATAGGAGTTCCCCCAGTCGGACACAGGTGAATAGGAGTTCCCCCAGTCGGACACAGGTGAATAGGAGTGCTCCCAGTCGGACACAGGTGAATAGGAGTTCCCCCAGTCGGACACAGGTGAATAGGAGTTCCCCCAGTCGGACACAGGTGAATAGGAGTGCTCCCAGTCAGACACAGGTGAATAGGAGTTCCCCCAGTCGGACACAGGTGAATAGGAGTTCCCCCAGTCGGACACAGGTGAATAGGAGTGCTCCCAGTCAGACACAGGTGATGAATAGGAGTTTCCCCAGTCGGACACAGGTGAATAGGAGTGCTCCCAGTCGGACACAGGTGAATAGGAGTGCCCCCAGTCGGACACAGGTGAATAGGAGTGCCCCCAGTCGGACACAGGTGAATAGGAGTGTCCCCAGGCTAATTTTATTGGTACTAACTTGTTTATTATAATAATGTAAGATTTCTTACAATGTTAATAAGTGACTGGGCTTGTGTTTTAAGTTATCATAGAATGAAAATTTTGGAAACTTATCTCAGACATTGTCATGGCATGTATTTTAAAACAATGTTTTTTGGGCCAGGCGCTGTGGCTCAAGCCTGTAATCCCAGCACTTTGGGAGGCCGAGGTGGGTGGATCACAAGGTCAAGAGATCGAGACCATCCTGGTCAACATGGTGAAACCCCGTCTCTACTAAAAATACAAAAAATTAGCTGGGCATGGTGGCGTGTGCCTGTAATCCCAGCTACTCAGGAGGCTGAGGCAGGAGAATTGCCTGAACCCAGGAGGTGGAGGTTGCAGTGAGCCGAGATCGCACCATTGCACTCCAGCCTGGGTAACAAGAGCGAAACTCCGTCTCAAAAATAAATAAATAAATAAATAGAACAACGGTTTTTTTTTTTAAGAAATGCTGGGCCTGGCAAAGGTAGTGGTGGCAAGAGCAAGCGTCTCCTCCCCTGCCAGCTCCTACCCCTCACCCCATGCCTTGCAGGCAGGAGCTGTGTGGCAGCCAGGACAGCTTCGAAATGTGCCCACTTTGCCTCGATTGCCCTTTCTGGCTGCTCTCCAGTGCCTGTGCCCTGGCCCAGGTATGAGAAGGGGTAGGTGGGGTGGGGCATTTGGGAGTAGGGGGATAAGGAGAGTGGCCCCCCTGGTCCCAGTCCTGACTACCTGCAACAGCCCTGTCCTACTTGTCACCACATAAAGGTGAGCTCCTTAACGTTTGTTCTCTCACCTGGAATTGGAGTCATGCCTGGCCCCTACCTCCCAGCAAGTGCCTACACACAGCAGTGGCTCATGTCAGTGCTGCCAACTCACGGAGACCCCCCATGCCAGGATGCTAGCTCCAGCACTCTGGGGGAACCTGGCCCTTGGCTCCAAAGCAGACAAACCCTGGAGCCCTAAGGCTCTGCACAGGCAGAACCAAAGGTTTGGACTTCTGAGCAGAATTCTCAACTTACGAGACCTGGACAGGAGGCTCCTGCAGTCTCTGAGCCCCACCGTCCCCACGCCCACCCGGTGTGCTTCCTGGGTCTGTCCACCTCCCAGGGGCCTCATGGCCTTGCTTGTATCCCACACACACTGGACCCAGAGCCCTGGGCACCGGCAATGGGTCACACACCCATTGACCTCACTCCTGGGTATCCACCTGGGTCCTTCCTAGGACCACAAATCGGACTTAAAACAGCAGAAGCTTAATCTCACAGACCCGGGCCCCAGTTCAGAATCAAGGTGTTGGCAGGCTGGGCTGGTTCTGGAGACATGGCCCCAGGCCTCTCTCCTAGCTTCTGGTGCCGCTACTGGCAGTCCTGTCCTCCCTGGCCCTGGCTGCCTCACTCGTCTCTGCTTCTGTCTCCACCTGGCCTTCCCCTCTGGGTCAGGTGCTGGTTCCTCTTCTCCCCTCTTGTTAGACTTTGTCCGGGGTACTCTCATCTGGAGATTCTTAACTTACCTCTGAAAGGGCCTCATTCAAATAAGATTACCTTCTGAGGTTCCTCATGAACATGTCTTCTGGGGGCCAGAATTCAACTCAACTACAGTTCAACCTCCAACCTCTGTTCCCCAAAACTTCAAGTCCATCCCACGTGCGAAATACACCCACCTCATCCCGACATCCCCGGGTCTCACCCCTTACAGAATTAACTCTAGGTCCAAAACCCATGAAAATATCATCAGCTCAGACAGTCCCAAATCATAGCCTCAAAGTCAAGTGTGGGTGAGACCTGGGTGTGAGCCATCCTGAGGCGAAATTCCTCTCCATCTGTGGGTCTGTGCTTCCAAAACGCAGTGGGGTGTGTGGGGCGGGGATGCACCCTCCGTTCCAGGAGGGAGGAACAAGGGGCCTCCAGTCTCGAGCACGTCTGGACGCGCCCCATCCCCGCCACAGGCCGGCCGGCTGTTCGACCATGGAGGCACCGTCTTCTTCAGCTTGTTCATGGCGCTGTGGGCTGTGCTGTTCCTGGAGTACTGGAAACGGAAGAGTGCCACGCTGGCCTATCGCTGGGACTGCTCCGACTACGAGGACATTGAGGTGAGCCGTCCCCACTGGGCCATCATCACGCCCAGTGAGGGCGGCCACTGAGCACCGGCTCCCTTCCAGGAGAGGCCTCGGCCCCAGTTTGCCGCCTCAGCCCCCATGACAGCCCCGAACCCCATCACGGGTGAGGATGAGCCCTACTTCCCCGAGAGGAGCCGTGCGCGCCGCATGCTGGCGGGCTCCGTGGTGATCGTGGTGATGGTACGTGGTCCTCCTGCACACGTGAGGGGGTTTTGTCCACCATCCCACCTTGGTGCTGAGGCCAGATGTCTCCTCTGGGCACAGAACCCTCTCTCCCTGCAGTGGCACCCACGTGCCTGGGCTCCGGGGAGGGGCTGAGCCTGGGGCTCGGCTGTCGGGTCCTGGCTGAGAGCAGGTGTGAGTCATGCGGAGGGCTGGGGAGGATCTCCCCGTGGGTGTGGGCATGGGGCATCTTTCAAGCAAGGAGGTCGGTTTCAAGGAAAAGAGAGGCAGATACGCAGCAGGGGAGTTCCCCGTCTTGCCTTCCAATCAAAGGGCTTCCTAATAGGTCTCCTCCCACCCCTGCCAAGATGTCAGGAATCCCCAGTTCCTGGGGCGGAATGGCTCTCTGACACTCACAGTGGCTGCCTTGATGCCCAGATGTGGCCCAGCCTCTAACCCTAAACCCACCCACCTCTGCCTGAACAGCCCACCAGGAAGGACACAGCCTGGGAGCACGGCGGGGCTGGAGGTGGGGGGCTTCCTAGAGGAGGCAGTGCGAGGGCCAGAGTGGACTAGCAGGTCAGTGGGGCCATGGCCTGAGGGTGAAGGAGCTCACAGGCCTCCCCGCCCTGCAGGTGGCCGTGGTGGTCATGTGCCTTGTGTCTGTCATCCTGTACCGCACCATCATGGCCATCCTGGTGTCCAGGTCGGGCAACACCGTCCTCACTGCCTGGGTGAGCCTCTGCCGGCTGCCTTGGGGGGTCCGGAGCAGCCTCTCGTCCGGCTCTGACCGCCTGTCTTCCATCAGGCCTCGCGCATCGCCAGCCTCACAGGGTCTGTGGTGAACCTCATCTTCATCGTCATCCTCTCCAAGATCTATGTGACCCTGGCCCACGTCCTGACACGGTGGGGTGAGTGGGCCGGGGCCAGCCAGGTGCTGACCAGGCCCCCTGCCAGCCCCAAGCCAGCATGACTCTCACTCGCTGACAGGAAGGGTCGCTCATTTCTATTTCTTTCTTCTTTGTGTGTTTTTCTTTTGAGACAATCTCACTCTGTTGCCTGGGCTGGAGTGCACTGGCCTCCCCAGCTCGAGGGGTCCTCCTGCCGCAGGCTCCTGAGTATCTGGGACCACAGCACGCCCACTGTGCCCAGCTGAACTTTTTTTTTTTTGGAGATGGGTCTCACTATGTGACCCAGGCTGGTCTCGAGCTCCTGGTCTGAAGTGACGATTCTCCTGCCTGGGCCTTTCAAAGTGCTGGGTGACAGGTGTGGCAGAGGCACCTGCTTTTCTTTCTCTTTCTTATTTTTTGTTTCTGGCACCACAGGTGGGACACAATTCCTGGTTTGGGATGCCAGTGCCTCCATTTCTAAATGTGGTACAGACTGGAGGTGTCTGAGCCCCCCAGAGGCCCCCTTAAAAGAGCAGTCAGTGGGGCCTTCCTGGGGAAAAAGGACCCTGGGGGCACCCAAGCACCTGAGGAGAGGAGTTCTTGCCCCTCCACAGGGTCCCCTCCAGGCTGTGAGGTCCCCAGGCAGGAGCCATCCCTGTAGAATAGGGCCACTGAGCTTCTCCGGGTGGCGTGGGGATGGGCCGCTGGGCTGGGGAGTTGGGGGGCCTGCCAGTTCTTCCCTCTTCCTTCCTCTCCCCTGTCTTCTCTTTCCCTGTCTCATTTCCTGAGGACAAACATGTATGGACCAATCCATCCCTTCCGCAAGCTGCCACCTGTCACCAGCACTGTTCTAGCCCTGGGGGTGAATAACCTTGAACAAAAGCTGCCCGCCCTGCCCTGGAGCCGGGTTCTAGCAGGGGCCGCAGGGTGGAGGGGGGCTGCAGTGCTGGGGAGGCAGCGCCTCCTGGTGGGCAGCCAGGGGAAGGTGGGTGTCAGGAGAGACCTGAGATTCCCAGTACTCCGCAGCCAAGGGCAGGGCCCTGAGGGGAGCCGCCCAGCTGTTTCTGCAACTGTGGGGCATTGCACCTCCCATAACCTTTAGCCTTTTATGCTCCCACCTCTGGCACCTGCACCGGGGCCCAGTCCCCTGCACGGCCTCGGCCTCGAGCCTCGATTCTGTTCCTCTGACCCAACCCCTGACCACTGGCCCGCGAGCACATTAATCATTAGCGTTGGGATACAGGGCGTCACCCAGTTTCCCAGCCCCCTCAACATGTTTTGGGTGACTTTGGAACTGTCACACTTTTTGCCCCCGTCTTTGAATCTCTTTAAGATATCTGGATGATATGGCCTTTTCCTCAGCCCTGCGTGGCGAGCTGGTCCTAGGAGAGGGGGCGTCTGGTTGGATGCTGGCGACGCCCCCAGGGACTCAGCCTGGGCTCTCTGTGCCACAGAAATGCACCGCACACAGACTAAGTTCGAGGACTCCTTCACCCTCAAGGTGTTCATCTTCCAGTTTGTCAACTTCTACTCCTCCCCCATCTACATTGCCTTCTTCAAGGGCAGGTGGGTGCCCCCTCCACCCTGGCCACGGCTCATCCTGCTTGGTTCTGCTCATGTTTCCCAGCTGTGTGGGCCCCAGGCTTCATCCAGCATGCTCAGGGAGGGTGGAGGATGGAACAGGAGACCCGGGCAGGGAATGGGGCCATCTGCCCAATAGGGGCTGCCCACCTCTTGGTCCCCCCCAGCTCAGGGGTCCACAGGAGGCCATGTTGCTGCCTGGAGTCCACAGGTTACGCCCCACCAGGGCAGGCGCGACAGCTCTGCTCAGGCCTCCCTCCGAAGCCTGGGAGGTGGGGGCAGACAGGCAGGAACCTGGCAAGGCTCGTGACCTTAACCTTGCCCCAGGTTTGTGGGACACCCAGGCAACTACCACACCTTGTTTGGAGTCCGCAGTGAGGAGGTGAGTGTACCTTGGCTGGGCTGGCTGCTGAGCCGCGTGCTCCTCTCACTGCCCGTCCAGCTTCAACTTGGGGGCACTTCTTCCTCCCACGCCGGCCGCCTCATGGCCCAGCCAGGGCTGGCCGTGTAGCTGCCCACTAGGATTCCCAGCCTCTCTTCACCACTTATTCTCACCCCAGTGTGCCCCATTGACACATCCTAGACACTCAGGCTGGGTGCAGTGGCTCACGCCTATAATCTCAGCACTTAGGGGGCAGAGGGAGGAGGCGCTTGAGCCCAGGAGCAGGAGACCAGCTTGGGTGACACAGCGAGACCTCGCCTACACACACACACACACACACACACACACACACAAAACAAGCCAAAAGACCTACCTCACCCAAGTTGTCCCAGCCGTATTCCTCTTTCCCCATTTTAGCCCAGTTCACGCCTGAGACAAGTGCAACCCATTACCACAGATGCAGGGTCTCTGGCACGCGGGGGCCGCAGAGGCTGGCTTCCCTCATGGGCTTGGTGTGCTGCGGCCATGGCTGTCACAGTTCTCCCCACCAGCTTGCATGCTGCGGCCGGCTGTGCTTAGTGACTCCATACCTTTTTTTCCTTTATTTATTATTTTGAGATTGAGTTTCGCTCTTGTTGCAGGCTGGAGTGCAATGGCATGATCTTGGCTCACTGCAACCTCCGCCTCCCAGGTTCAGGCGATTCTCCTGCCTCAGCCTCCCGAGCAGCTGGGATTACCGGCATGCACCACCATGCCTGGCTAATTTTGTATTTTTAGCAGAGATGAGGTTTCTCCATGTTGGTCAGGCTGGTCTTAAATTCCTGACCTCAGGTGATCCGCCCGCCTCAGCTTCCCAAAGTGCTGGGCTTACAGTGACTCTGTAAGAACCAGGTGTGAACCTGGTTTTTCAGAACGTAAATGGAAGTTGCTGTCATGCAGGGATCCCTGCAAAGCAGACCCCGAGACAGATTCTGGTGCAAGTAACTGACATGTGCATCACCCCAAAAGCTGTCTCCGCTGTGCCACTGACCCTCCAAGACACGTAGAAAAGCCCTCAAAACTGTCTGTCCCCAGTACACGGCATAGCCCGTCCTGGGTGAGGGCCAGGCACGCCCCAGTAGCCGGGTCACAGGCAACAGGGCGGGTGCATCTGGAGCCATCCATAGGTGACCTCTGGGCTGGGGCGTAAATGGGCCCCTGCTGAGAGCCTGGCCTGGAAGACCACCTTTTGGAGGAGGAGGGCAGAGAAGAACTTCTAATGGGGCCTGGGCCATGAGTCAGCCCAGCTGCAGAGTGGCTGCCCCCGAAGAGATGCTATTTTCCTGTGAGAAGGGAAAGGGCAGGCTGGGGATGGAATGGGGGTGTGGCTGTGTGTGCCACAGTGGACCAGCCAGAGGACTTTCCCTTGTAAGTAAGAAACTGGCTTAAACAAAAAGGAGTTTCCTTGGCTCCCGTGCGGAAAACGCTCAGGGCGCTGCAGGCTCAGGGAAGAATGATCCAGGTGCTTAAAATGCTGCACTGCTGTTCCCAGCATGGCTGTGTTCTCAGAAAGCTGCTCCCCACCTGGAGGGAGACAGAGCACCCCTTGCAAGGCACGGGCTCCCAGGAACTCCCTAGGTCCACCTCAGTGGCTTGAACCAGGTCCCCGACTGGGGGCTGCCCTGTGGGTCTGTGTCGTCAGCTCCATGGAAGCCCATAACTGGGGTCTCCAAAGGAAAACTGCGGTGCCATTAGGTTAATAGAGCAGCGCCCCCTGCGGCCGTTCAGAAGGGAGGTGGGGGCTGGGAAGAGGGCCGGCCTTGAGACCAAAAGGATGGGCGGGGGAGTGGCAGGTCCCTCTCCTGGCTGACCTGAGCCCTGCTTCTGCAGTGCGCGGCTGGAGGCTGCCTCATCGAGCTGGCACAGGAGCTCCTGGTCATCATGGTGGGCAAGCAGGTCATCAACAACATGCAGGAGGTCCTCATCCCGTGAGTCCCCCACTCTGCCCTGGTCCATCCCAGGACCAAGGGACCCCAGGGCACCTGGGAGTAGCAGCCTCCAGCCTGGCCCTAGCTGGGAGAAGAGGTGAAGGGGAGGCAGGGTCGGTCCCTTCCTGGACATTAACACCTTGTGTGGGGAGGGGAATGAGGAGCGTGCTGGGGCCATGTGCCCCGGGCTCTGGGCTGCCCACCCTGCAGTTGCCCTGTGGCTGGCTGAGGTCTTCTGGGTTATGGCTGCGGAAGATGCTCCCTCTGGGACCACCTTTGACTGGGGAGGGGCCTGGGTTCCTGGGCCTAAGGCTGGGGTGATGGCTCCATCCATTCAGAGATGCTTTGGCAGGGCCAGAGTGTTCCTTGGTGTCCCCAGCCCCCAACACAGAGCAAGAGGGAAGAGGAAAAAGAGGCCCCAAGTTGATCCTCAGACACATGTCTGCCTCATATGCCCTTGCCAGGTACCCCTGACCACAAGGCTCCCATCTCCCTAATGCCACCTCTACTGGCAGTCACTGTGGCCCCATCAAGGCAACTGGGTCTCCCTCACAGGCCAGAGTCCTTCAAGGGGGCTGCCCAGGGCCTCTCCTCCCACTCAAGGCCAGATTGACTTGACCACCCTCCCAGCACCTCCTAAACACCTGATATCCCCCCAGAAGGCAGCTCCCAAGTCAGCACTGACTTTCCTGGGCCACCACAAGTGGCTGTTGGGAGACGGTGACGGTGCCACACCCCGAGAGGATGGCCCTGCCTCTTGGGACTACTGGGGCTATGAAGCCACACAACCATAAGGTGGAGGGCGGAGCTCCGTGCCTGGCAGGAACAGGGCGTGGATGAGTGACAGTGTGATAAAGTAACATGCACACATGCCCCCATGCAGGGCAAACCCAACATGTGGGCGGCCATGGCATCTGCTTTCCCTGGCACACGACAGTGGCCCTCATCCACTCCCTCCCAGCCTTGGCAGAGCTCTTGGCACTGTTTGCAATTCTGGGGGGGGGCCCATTTCCCCTAAAGCCTTAAGGAACAATGCAGGGGTTTGGGAGGGTGGACTGTCCCCCCAGTTAGACCGACGGACACAGACGCTCTCACTGAATCCCATCTGCAAACGTGTCGGCCCCCACTGGGGCCCCTTGGCCCTAGACCCGCCCCTCCCTGTTGTTCTTTAATTGCAAAGCGACAGGTTGGTCCTGACCACATCTTGCCCGGGACTGTAGCAGCCACTGAGACCCAGTAGGAGCAATGGCCATTTTGCTGTATTCCCGTCCCCAGGAAGCTAAAGGGCTGGTGGCAGAAGTTCCGGCTTCGCTCCAAGAGGAAGGCGGGAGCTTCTTCAGGGGCTGGCCGGGAGCCCTGGGAAGCCGACTATGAACTTGTGCCCTGTGAGGGTCTGTTCGACGAGTACCTCGAAATGGGTAGGAGCCCGGTAGCAGCTGCGGCAGTGGCCCGCGCCCAGGGGAGGGATGGGCAGCCACTTGCTCAGGGGTCTTCCAGCCTGACTACAGCTGTCCTGAAATGTGCTGTGGGGTGGGGTAGGGACAGAGGATTAGGTCTGAGAAGAATCCAGAAAGGTATTATTTTCCGCCCCCGAGAGTGCCCGGGAGGGTCAGCTCAGGACTGGGGGGCTCCGGCACAAGGAGGAGGCCCTGGGGCAGTTGCAGAGTTCCCCTGAACCAGAGCAAGGGAATAATTAGGACAGAGGCTCTCCGAGGGTGAGGCCGCACTGGGAGGCAGCGGCCTGGAGAGAGACGTCCCCAGAGGTCTCCATGCCCACGCTATTTGCTGGACCTACACCTGTCACCTTGCCAGGTGGCGGCTGGTGCCCGAGGCTCACTGCCTGCACGGGTGGTGCACTCAGGAGGCGGGTGTGTGGCGCTTGTGCTGCCCCGGCAGTGCAGGATCTGACTCTAAGCTGACAAAAGGGAGAAGGAATCAGGCAGCTGTTTTTTGTTTTGTTTTGTTTGAGACGGAGTCTCGCTCCGTCACCCAGGCTGGAGTGCAATGTCGCGATCTCAGCTCACTGCAACCTCTGCCTCCTGGGTTCCAAGCGATTCTCCTGCCTCAGCCTCCTGAGTAGCTGGGATTACAGACGCACATCACCACGCCCAGCTAATTTTTGTATTTTTACTAGAGACTGGGTTTCACCATGTTGGCCAGGCTGGTCTCGAACTCGTGACCTCAGGTGATCCACCCGCCTCGGCCTCCCAAAGTGCTGGGATTACAGGCGTGAGCCACCGCACCTGGCAGGCAGCTCTTAACCTAGCAGGTGGGCACATGAGCCAGCAGGCCCCGGAGCTCCCCAGGGTAGAAGCGGCATCTGTGGAAAGGGACCAGGCCAGTTCCCAGGGTGAGGAGTGGACGCCCTGACCCACCTCCACTGTACCCTGGACCCCGACGATCTCACTAGTAATTCCCACAGAAGACCAGGAACCCCTTCCAAAGAGCGGTTTCCTAACGGCTGCCCTGAGGAGTGAGCGGAGAAGCCGGATCGGAAGCAGTTTCTGCTCCCAGTCCCGCCCCGAGTTAGTCCCTCAGTTCACTGAGCCCAGGAAGGGCCGTGACCAGCCAGAAACGGGAGCGCAGGGCAGGACAGCGGCCTGGGCCTGGTCAGGGGAGGTGGCCCGGGCGCCGCGCGGCGCAGGACGAGGGAGACCAGCAGGCGGGGGTGGCACCACGTGGACCGGCCGGTCCTCCTTGGGGGGCGCGTTCCCAGGGCTGGGGGCGGACAGTGGCGGGAGCTCGGCGGTGCCCCCTGCCCCGCAGTGCTGCAGTTCGGCTTCGTCACCATCTTCGTGGCCGCCTGTCCGCTCGCGCCGCTCTTCGCCCTGCTCAACAACTGGGTGGAGATCCGCCTGGACGCGCGCAAGTTCGTCTGCGAGTACCGGCGCCCGGTGGCCGAGCGCGCCCAGGACATCGGCATCTGGTTCCCCGTCCTGACGGCCATCACGCACCTGGCGGTCACCAGCAACGTGAGGGCCTGGCGGGGGCGGGAGGGGGCGGTGCGGGAGCCGGAGTGGGGAGGAGCGGGGGCTGCCCCTCGCCGACTCTCCCGCGCCTGCCCTCCCGCGCCCAGGCCTTCCTCCTGGCCTTCTCGTCCGACTTCCTGCCGCGCGCCTACTACCAGTGGACCCGCGCCCACGACCTGCGGGGCTTCGTCAACTTCACGCTGGCGCGCGCCCCGCCCCACTTCGCCGCCGCGCACAACCGCACCTGCCGGTGAGTCCCGCGCCAGGTGTAGGGGCCGGGGAGGCAGGAGGGGCGGATCCTGCTCGCGCGAGAGGCCTTTGCGGGGCTAAAGGGCAAATCGCAGATTCTGTTGCCAGTGGCCGTGGACGCTGCAGAGCGCACGGGGTGTGCATCACCCGCATCTGGAGGCCTCCTTTGTGATCTGCGTATAATGAAGTTTTGCATGTGTTTGAAGTAAACTTGAAAAAAATCATAGTCTCCTAATTTTGGAGAAAATCTAAGGCCGGGCGCGGTGGCTCACGCCTGTAATCCCAGCACTTTGGGAGGCCGAGGTGGCTGGATCACAAGGTCAAGAGATCGAGACCATCCTGGTCAACATAGTGAAACCCCGTCTCTACTAAAAATACAAAAATTAGCTGGGCATGGTGGCGCGTGCCTGTAATCCCAGCTACTCAGGAGGCTGAGGCAGGAGACTTGCCTGAACCCAGGAGGCCGAGATCGCGCCATTGCACTCCAGCCTGGGTAACAAGAGTGAAACTCTGTCTCAAAAAAAAAAAAACTCTAAATAATAAAATTAGACCATAGGGTTATCAGTTTTTCCATGTGGGGCTCTCTCAGGTTTTGCTCTGGTATTTTGAAGTTCTCAGCTGCATGAGCTCATTCTTGTGATCTCTTCCTGATGGATATTTTCCTTTTATTCTTTATCCTTTTCATTCCTTCTCTCCTGACTTCTGGTGGATGGGTAAAAGTTTTGTTTTTTTTTTTAATTCTTTGGCTTTTTTGGAACTGATGGCATATATTTCTATTATTTTAGCGGTTACTCGTGTTTAGCGTCCTTTTTTTTTTGACTGGTTCTTGCTCCGTATCCCATGCCGGAACGCAGTGCCACAACTGTAGCTCCGTGCAGCCTAGAATTCCTGGGCTCAAGCAGTCCTCCCACCTCAACCAGCTCAGTAGCTGGAACTGCAGGAGTGTGCCACCAGGCCTGGCTTTTTTTGTTTTTTAGAGATGATGGGGTCTCTCTGTTGTGTTATCCTGGCCTTGAGCAGTCCCTTGGCCTCCCAAAGCACTGGGATTAGAGGCACAAGCCACCGCACCTGGCCAGCACATTCTTAACTATATCTCATCCTGACAAAGCCTGAATGAATTCGATTAGGTTTCCTGTGTGTGTGTGACCAGGATCTTGACACGCCTTACCACCTAGCGAGCACCAACCTCTCATCTTATTGTTAGAGTTTTTGTTAAAAACACACATGAAACATTCGTCATCTATTCATCAGATTTGTGTATTTTGTTAGCCTCTGTGGTCACAGTAATTTCTCATTCATTGCTTTCCCTCTGAGTTCATTTCTTTTCATAGTGAAGTATATCCTTTAATAATTCTCTCAGTAAAGACGTGCTTGGTGGGCTCTTCATATGCAAAAAGGCACGGAGATACAGGTAGAATGCCTCCATGATACACGTATGACAATATCTCTGTGCATTTCAGTCCTTCAAATAGTGGGTATAAAATTACAGGTTCTTTTCTCTCCGTTCTTGGGAAATATTATTCTTTCATGACTTGGCTTTTCTGACTGGAAGTATTCATAGCATTTAAGGATGTTTCTGGCTGGGCTGGGTACCTCATGCCTATAATCCCAGCACTTTGGGAGGCCAAGGTGGGTGGATCACCTGAGGTCAGGAGTTCGAGACCAGCCTGGCCAACATGATGAAACCTCTGTCTCTACTAAAAATACAAAATATATACATATCTGGGTGTGGTAGCACATGCTTGTAACCACAGCTACTTGGGAGGCTGACTCACAGGCATTGCTTGAACCTGGGAGGCAGAGGTTGCAGTGAGCTGTGATGGTGCCACTGCACCCCAGCCTGGGCAACAGAGTGAGACTCTGTCTCAAAAAAATAATTTTTCTGTAATCCCAGCACTTTAGGAGGCTGAGTTGGGAAGATTGCTTGAGCCCAGGAGTTTGAGATCAGCCTGGGCAACACGGTGAGACCTCATCTCTACAAAAATCTTAAAAATTAGCCAGGCCTGGAGGCATGCACTTGTAGTTCCAGCTTCTTGGGAGACTGAGGTGGGAGGATCGCTTGAGCCCGGGGCTGCAGTGAGCTGTGATCACGCTGGTGCACTCCAGCTTGGGGGACAGAGACTGTCTCAAAAAAAAAAAATTTTGGTGTGGTACGGTGGCTCATACTTATCCCAGCACTTTCAGAGACCAGGGCAGGTGGGTCATTTGAGGTCAGGAGTTCCAGAGTAGCGTGACCAACATGGAGAAACTCCCTATGTTAAAAATAAAAAAAAAAATTACCTGGGCATGGTGGTGCCTGTAATCTCGGCCACTCCAGAGGCTAGGTAACAGGGTTTTTCTTTTTGAGATGAAGTTTTGCTCTTGTTGCCCAGGCTGGAGTGCAGTGGCAGAATCTCGGCTCACACAACCTCCACCTCCCAGGCTCAAGTGATTCTCCTGCCCCAGCCTCCCAAGTAGCTGGGATTACAGTCTTTTGTATTTTAGTAGAGATGGAGGTTTCTTCACGTTGGCCAGGCTGTTTTCAAACTCCTGACCTCAAGTGATCAAGCTGTCTCAGCCTGCCAACAGTGAGCCACCGCGCCCCGCTCAGAGTTGCGTGTCTCGTTCTGGTGGCGTCTCCACCTTATTCCTTCCAGCAGTGCCTCTCTGCTTGTCCACTGCCGCCTGGAACTCCCCCGCGCTGGGTGCGTGCTGTCTCCCAGTCCCCAGTCTCTCTTCTGCTGCGTCTAGCCACCTAAAAGTTTATCCCATTCATCTGAAGGATTTTTTTCCAATGGCTGTATTTTTAACTTTTAATATTTGTTTCTTTTCCTACAAAGTTGGCCCTGGTAATGCTTCTCATGGAGTGCAACATGTAATTTATATTAGAAAACAGAATGTCACATCTTGACCATGTGACAGAGACACAGGAAGATGCCAAGGTGTGAAATAGCACGTGAAGCTGAATGTGGCTCATGATAGGAGGGAGGGCCAGGCTGGGCAGGCAGAGTCTCTGAGCAGGTCAGTGACAGGCGAATTTTCACCGTGTAGTAGGCTGACATCATTCGTAGAAGCACAGACTTCTGGACTGTCACATCTACTAGAAAATAAGGCATTTGCCCCTGGGGGTGGGGGGGCAGGGTAGCCCAGTGGGGGACAACGCAGCCCATCCACCTTTGGAACCCACCAGTTAAAGGTATTGTCAGAGTTTCCCCTATTGATTGATTTCCACCCCAATCAATAGAATGATTCCTATTTCAGGCACCCTCGATGAAGAGCCAGGCCTGGAACACAGGATCAGAGAGGGAAACGGTGGGAAAAGGGGAGAAGGGCTAATTCCAGAGGCACCTGCCCAGCCAAAACTCTGCCCTGGCTCCATGCGCTGAGTCCTGCGTCTCCTGCAGGTATCGGGCTTTCCGGGATGACCATGGACACTATTCCCAGACCTACTGGAATCTCCTTGCGATCCGCCTGGCCTTCGTCATTGTGTTTGAGGTAGCCGGGGCACCTGCTGGTTTTCCCACCCATGGCATGATATCCCTGCCATGCTTTGTCTATTTCGAGCACGTGGCGTGAGAGGGATTGGTGCAACCACTTCCTGCCGTGTTATCTTGGTCCAGTGCCAGCTCTTCTCTGCGCCTTTGTTTTCCCTGCCTGGCCTCATCCCCGGGCTGCGGTGTGGACCTGAGTGCCTGGGGATTGTGGGGGTGGGGGTCTGCACAGGAGCTCCAGGCCCACGAAAGCTGGGGTGGCCTCTGCCCCTTCTGGGGTTCCTTTTCCTGCACAACTCCTTTCTAGCTCCACCCGCAGCTGGGAGCAGAGGTGCTGGAGCCAAGGCCTGCTTGGCCCCGGGAAGGCTATTCTGGGTGTTTCTTTACCAAGGGTGGGGGTGAGTACCTTGCTCTGCTCCCAGCACGTGGTTTTCTCCATCGGCCGGGTCCTGGACCTCCTGGTGCCGGACATCCCAGAGTCTGTGCAGATCAAAGTGAAGCGGGAGTACTACCTGGCTAAGCAGGCGCTGGCGGAGAATGAGGTGAACCACGCGGCCAGTCTCGGCTCCCCCCAGCCCTCCCCCATCCTTGTCAGTGGCTGCTGCACCTCAGGACACCAAGTCACATCCCTCTTCCTCTTGCTGCCCTTTCTTGGGGACAGGCTCTTTTTGGAACAAATGGAGCAAAGGATGAGCAGACCCAGGGCTCAGAGGCAAGTCTGGGAGCAGCCAGGCCCCTGCCCCATGCTTTCCGCAAGGCCACAGGGCCCTGCCCCACCGCCCACTGCACCTTGTGGCCCTGGTCTGACTTGTCCCTGCCCCCAGCCCTCTCCCCAGCTCAGCCCCCACTGGACATCCTTCAGGGTCCCCAAGGTCAGCCAGCTGCAGCAGTGATGCCTGGAAGGACAGCGGGCAGCCTTCAGGGGAGCAGCCCCTGCTGAGCCCCTCCCGTGCGAGCCCCGCGAGCAGTGTCCTTTCCCTCTTCCCTCAGGCAGTGGCTGTGTGAACCACTGGCTGCAGTCGTGCCCTCGTTTCTGGGCACATTGCCTGCGTCCCCCCCAACGCCGGCTTCTCTCCTCAGAGTGCCTGTTCCTCCATCACCGGCAGGGAGGGACTGTCTGCTCACAGAGCCCTGTTTCCTGCTCCGAAACCTCAGCCCAAGGGGCCCCTGCACCCAGGAGACCCTGTCCCTCGGTGGCCTCCCCAGACCCCTGGACATGACCCTTCTCTGGTCTTGCCACCCCTGGCCGCATCTCCCTGCTCCTCTTACGTCTGCTGACCTTCAAATGGTGCTGAGCGCAGGGCCGTCCTCCCTCACGTCCTCTGGACCCACCTGCCTCTTCCTGCCCTGTCCATGTGGGGACGTCACCCTCATGCCCCAGCTCTCAAACCCTGCACCTCTGTGCCCCAGGCCATGGCAAGGGTCCATTCGCCCCCTCCCTCCATTTCCAGTTATTGGGGTCCCTGGATTCTTGCTGCTTGAGTCAGGCCCCCTTTCCATCCTCTGCGTCTGCAGTTGCCCCCTGCAGCAATTAAACATGTTCGTTGGATCCCTGCCTGCCGAGTGCGTAACAAGCACCCAAACGGGGGAGGCTCTGGATAGGATATTTGTCAGTGAAAGTAGACAGCCTGGAAGGAAACCTGTACACCTGTAACGTCTGGTGGCTCCTTCCCCAGATTTGAGTGTATACATCAGTTTTCCACCCCGGATCGTAATGGGACATGCCGTCCGTCCTGCACTGAGGAGCCATGTTCCCCGCGTAGCTGTCCACTTACTAAACATCCTGAAACGGATCTGTGCTCGTCTGTACCGAGTTCTTTGGAGTTCTACAAGAGGAACTTAGGCGTCAAAAAGAGTATGTGGTTTTTTGGCCGGGCACCGTGGCTGACACCTGTAATCCCAGCATTTTGGGAGGCCGAGGTGGGAAGATCAGGAGGTCAGGAGTTTGAGACCAGCCTGGCCATCACGGTGAAACCCCGTCGCTACTAAAACCACGGAAACTGGGCGTGGCGGCGGGCACAGTAACCCCAGCTACTTGGGAGGCTGAGGCAGGAGAATCGCTTCAACCTGGGAGGCACAAGCTGTAGCGAGCTGAGATTGTGGCAGACAGAGCGAGCCTCCGTCTCAGAAAAGAAAAGACATATGTGGTTTTAATGTGCTGTGCTGAGTCCTGCCAGACTCACTCCACAGAAAAGCCCTTTCGGACATCCTCGCCTTGCTGTTTGACCCGCGGTGACGCCTGGCTGAGGGCAGCGAGCTTGTAGCAATCGTTGAGGATTTGTCACTTGCTCACCTGCCTCTTGAGAGCATTGTGCTCTGCCTCCAAGTCAGGGCTCTCCTGGCTCGCAGGGTCCTGGGGCTGGATGCCACCGGCTGGGATGAGGGGCTCGCAGGGTCCTGGGGCTGGATGCCACCGGCAGGGATGAGGGGCTCGCAGGGTCCTGGGGCTGGATGCCACCGGCAGGGATGAGGGGCTCGCAGGGTCCTGGGGCTGGATGCCACCGGCAGGGATGAGGGGCTCGCAGGGTCCTGGGGCTGGATGCCACCGGCAGGGACGAGGGGCTCGCAGGTATTGAAACGTAAGACAATGCTCAGGTCATGCCCCAACAGCTTTCTAGGCGAATAAATCGTCACCAGCATGGGGGTCAAAAGCAAGTCCCAATCACTAGGTTCCGGTGCCCACGTGTGCCCCTACCCTGGGACCCTCTCCCATCAAGCGTAGTTACCAGCTCGGTCACCAAGCAGGGATGGAAGTGCGGACTCTGTTTCTGGCTTCTGCTGCGGGACACCGTGTGAGCCCCATCTGTGCAGAGCACCCCTCGGCCCTCCTGGCTGCTGGAATGCTTCACGTTTGGGTCATTTGCAAGTGTGTGACTTGCTGTGGGTGGCAGATTTAGGGGCCCACAGAGCTGCTGGGTCGTGGGTTAGCACGTTCAGCTCCAAGAGCAATGGCCACATCTGTCCTCCCAGGTAGGGCCAGCCCAGTCAGCAGCACAGGATACTAATTCCCTGGCTCTGCTCAACTCTTCCTGGCATCTCCTGCCTCCTGGGTGACGGGGTGGCTCCTCCCACCTCCTCCTGCAGCCCCGCCAGCACCCCCGCCACTCCCACAGCTCACCATAACTAACGAGCTGCGGTCCGGGAGTGCCACTGAGGCTGGCAGGCAGTCCTGATCTCAAGGAAGTGGCAGGTGCTGCTCCATGACAGCTCTCCAGCCGCAATGGGAGGGCTGTGGCCAGAGCACAGGGACAGGCAGCCACCCTCTCGCCACGACCAAATCTGAGTCTCCCTTTCATGTGGCTCGAGGTGCTGCTGAACAGTGTTGAGAGCTGCTGAGAAACTACCCACGGGTGCCACTCACCACCCGAGTGGTGGCGGCGTGACAAAATGAGTCCCAGCACACTACATCTGGTTTTGGGTTTTATTTTAGAATTTATAAAATTCCAGTGTCATCCATATTCATGAGCATTTACACGTTTGCATATAATCTCCAAATTCCAAAGTTAAGGCCAAGGGATGGATTGTAGCTATGGAAACATGACATGGAAGACATTCAGCAAGGAGGAAAAACACACACATTCCTCACCCGGGCCCCATCCCTGCCCAGGCTCTCCTGACAGCACAGGTGCCTCAGGGGGACAGGCAGGGGTACAGTCGTTCCTTTGTCACAATCACCCAAAGAAGAAGAGTGAGAGGCCCTGCACAGCTGAGGAAAGGGCTTGCATCTGAGACGCTGAGCAACACACAGATGTGTAGCTTGGTGAGAATGTAAAATCCACCTTTGGGGGAGGACAGGGGCCGGATGTTTCAGGACACTGTAGAAAAGCCGGGAGGAGCCCGCCGGGATGGAGCCAGGACGGAAGCTCCAGAACTCATGCAGGCGGGAAGCGCCTGTCCTCCCACACTGGCAGCAAAGTGCCTTGCGTCCTTTCCTCGGTTCCCAATCCACGGCCACCCAGCCCACGAAGCAGAGGAAGGGTTCTTTCCTATCCAGTTTACCCTTCCTGTCAACAGGCCCATTCAGGGGCCTTGCCGAGGCAGCTGCAGTTAGACGTGGGCGAAGCTGTTCCGGGTCTACTCAGGAATGCGAGTCTGAAGATGGCCCAGCTGAGTTATCCAAGAGGGAGAAACGGGTGAGGAGTCAAGGCAGAAGCGACTGTCCCCAGGGAGGACAGAGGTGTGGCCGCAAGTCAGCTTTTCTGTAATCAAGCACCTAGGACAGGACAGCTCACTAGCAGCCCAGTCCCCTCGGTGGGGGACAGACAACCAGAGACAAGGACCGCCCTTGGTCCTCACGACACAGACGCCTCCCTTGGTGGGCAGGGCTCTTGGCGCCCGCTGTTCGGTCTGCTCTACCTGGTGCTCGAGGCCATCATCTCTCGGTTCCGCACCGTGAAAACTGCCCATCACCTGGTACCTTCTCCTAGGGGCTGGCCTGCACATCTGACGGCCTGTGGGTGGGGTGGCAGTGCCGATCCCACTCCGGACCCACCTGTGCTGAGGGAGCGCACCAGCCTCCAGCTCTGGTCCACGGCGCCCACCCACAGCTCCACTGGCAAACCCACAACCACCAGAAACATCTAAATAAAGACGAGTTTGTGGGGTGGCACTAAGTATACCAGAGACCACTCCACACTGGCTGAGGTAGGAAGAAGGCAACTGAACACGTGGCATCTAGGGCAGGAGCAGGCAGGGGCTGCAGGTGGCGTGAAGAAAAGCCCAGCTGTCAACTAAGGCAAACTGTCCCCACTGAGGATAAGCGTAAGGCCCTACCTCCCCCATCCCGTGCATGTCTCAAGACGCTGTGCCGGCCACAGGGGCCCCGGATGGTACATGCCACCTCGCCTCCAGGCGCCACTCACCAGACCTCAGGCGGAGGGTCTGGCAGTGGAGGCAGGGGCAGGGACCCTTGGTGCTTTCAGACCCCATAGCAGGTAAAATCAGGGCTGCCTGATAACCCAAGTCACCCCTCCAGCTCCAGGAATCTGCCCTCCCGATGTCCAGAGCCAGGTCCTCCTTGCACCCTGACACCTGTGCTGAGGTGCTGTGGCAGCTGGAGGCAGCTGCACTCCACCACCAGGAGGGTCTGGACCACGGGAGATGGGCAGGAGGGAGGTGGGAAAGGAAGAGGGCAAACGTTTGGCTTTTATAAAGTCAAGGAAGTTTATTTCCTGAGGTCATGACACAGGAAGTCGAATCCTAGCCGCAGCCGCGGTGCTCTCGTGAAGGTCAGAGTGCTGACTGGCATGCCGGGTGGACCAGGAGCTGTTCTTAGCATGAGTGCTCATGACCTTGTTTAGTGTTAACAGTGGAGCAGGTCCTGAGCAGGCACTGGGCACGGCCAGGCCTGGAGGAGCGGCGCACACAGAGCCAGGCGCTAGGCTTCTCTGTGAGACCTCGGAAGGGGGGACAGCGTCAACAATTTGCGGAGGGTCCAGCCGCTGGGTCAGACTGAGACAAACCCTTGTGTGGTTGGGTTCGGGTCAGCAGGCTGGAGAGGTTTCTGCATTTCGATCATTACCGTTTGGGGCCCCAAGGGAGGGTCTTGGGAGCCACCTGAGCCCCAAAACTGGGAAATTCCTCAGAGCTGCTCATGTCAGGAGCCTGTGCAGAGAGAGGACAGGTTGAGGATGTGGTCAATGGCTTCCTCCACGTTCTCTGAGGGGGTCGCTCCCCAACTCACAAGCAGCTTCCGACGCAGCTGCCACCCTCGGGGCGCCAAGCCCGCCCACCTCCCTGGGACCCAGGAGGGGAGAAGCCCGCGCCTGACCTTCTCACTGCTGCTGGCGGTCCAGGGTGCGTCCCGCACCACAAAGCCTCTGGATGGCGCCTTGGCCTCCTCGTGTGCTGGGGGTTTCATGTACACCTGCAGCGCCTCGCTGTCCACCACATCGGCCAGCTGCAGGCAGAGGACAGGGAGACAGGGTCAGCCTGCCCAGCACCCCCAGCCTCCCACCCTGCTGCTCACCCCTGCACCTCACCTGCCCCTGGAAACACAAGTGCCACCTTGACCCCTCAGGCTCCTGGCTGGGCCTCAGGCCAGTGGACACCAGGGCGCCTCGGGGCTCCAAGGCCCCCATCACCCAGACTCACGTATTCCTCCTCCAGGTTGAGGATGTGGTCAATGGCTTCCTCCACGTTCTCTGGGAGCCCTGTCACAGTGACGCAGTTGGGGTCTGGGGCTCCACTCTGTGGGAAGCGAATGTCCACCTGGAAGGAATGTACAGTGTCAGAGGAGGGGACTCCAAGCGAGGACTTTAGAACAAAGGGTTAAAATTATGTGTCTATTTCTAATGAAGCATTTTCTGAGTCAGCCTCATCACAGCAAGTCAGGTGCACCTCGGAGGACCCTGTTCACAGCAGACGAGGGCGGAGCATGAACTCCCACCCGCAGAGGAGGAGCCCACCAGGCAACCATCGAGGGGACGACACCCCCCGAATGGGCCACACCGTGGCGGCAGTGCCTGACACAGGCCATCGCCTGCACCGACCCGTGGTGTCCACGAGGACAGTTCCACTGCCAGCCCTGGGGCCGTGGCCTCATCGTCTGAGGGGAAGGCCATGCTGTCCTCTTTCTGGCCAGCCAGGCGCCCCGGTGAGGGGGGGATTCTCACCCAGTGTGCTTCTGGCTGGCTCACCTTGAACTCGTCCATAATTTTGCGAATGGCTTTGCCGCGGGCCCCGATGATGCGGGCGTGAACACGGTGGTCCAGCGGGACGTCCTCAGAAACCATCTGCTCAAGCTCACCCACAATTCTCAGTATGGCGTCCCTGGCGGCTTCTGTGTTCTTTTCGTACCCTGTGATGGTAATTTGGTCCTGAGGCTAAAAAAGGACAGTGCAGTCAGAAAAGGGGACGCCTTCCTGGGATTCCTGGCAGGGCAAGAGCCGGCCCAGCAGGCTGCTCAGTGGGGAGACACGGCAGGTCCGGGGCACAGAGGGCCGAGCGCACCCGGCCTCACCACTGAGTAATGGCTGATTTGAAGCAAGAGGTTGACAATGTCCACTTGGCGCTCATCTTTTCCCAACTCCACCCAAGACAGTGGATTACAGGATGAAAGAGGACACTGTCCTCAGAGACGCTGACAGGCAAGAACTCTGGACTCAAGGACAAAACAGGACAAAACCCCCAGCCACTCAGCCTCCTGTCGCTTCACCACGAGCGCCAGTCTGGAGGCGTCTGTGCAAGGAGGCTGCCTGGCTGGTGTTGCACACGGAGCCCCTCCCTCACTCAGAGCTCCCACCTGCTCGGGCCTCCCCTGGGCCATACAAATGGACAGCAGACCAGCAGAGCAAGCGGACAGCTCGGGGCACAGAGAAGGAGACCTAAGAGAACACCTGTAACCTACAACTGGTGGGCACTGCCCATCCGCAACACAGGAACACACCACCACACAGCAGTGTAGGGGACAAGGACAAACACCTGGGAAGGAGGCGAGCAGAAACACCCACCCAGAGACGACAGAGCCGCAGCCCAAGCTTCAGTCCAGAATGAAGCAAAATGCCAGAGCGGGAGGCAGCCGCCCCACCCACACGTGGCCCAGCAGAGCTGACAGCCTCAGGCACCACCCGCTGCTTCAGGCCCAGAACCTCACGAGCAAAGGCGCAGCTCACAGGAAAAAGCTACGTGTAAAGAAACGGCTGCTCTACCCCACGTGGCTCATGGTGTATTAGATGCAATGGTCTAACAGTTAAATAATGACTTTTAAAATCAATAATTAGGCCGGGAGCAATGGATCACGAGGTCAAGAGATCGAGACCACCCTGGTCAACATGGTGAAACCCCGTCTCTACTAAAAATACAAAAAATTAGCTGGGCATGGTGGCGCGTGCCTGTAATCCCAGCTACTCGGGAGGCTGAGGCAGGAGAATTGCCTGAACCCAGGAGGCGGAGGTTGCGGTGAGCCGAGATGGCGCCATTGCACTCCAGCCTGGGTAACAAGAGCGAAACTCCGTCTCAAAAAATAAATAAATAAATAAAATTAATAATTATGTGGAAAAGGGAAATAAAAGGTAGTAAGGGTAGGGTGTAAAAAAGGGTGGGGTGTAAACACTTGGCCTGTAATCCCATCACTCTGGGAGGCCAAGGTGGGCAGATCAGGTGACGTCAGGAGTTTGAGACCAGCCTGGCCAACATAGTGAAACCCCATCTCTACTAAAAATGCAAAAATTAGCTGCATGTGGTGGTGCACCTGTAATCCAGCTACTCAGGAGGTTGAGGCAGGAGAACTGCTTCAACCCAGGACATGGAGGTTACTGTGAGCTGAGATTGTGTCACTGTACTCCAGCCTGGGCAACAGAGCAAGAGTCTCTTTAAAAACATAAAAAATAAAAATGAGGGCCGGGCGTGGTAGCTCACGCCTGTAATCCAAGCACTTTGGAGGCCAAGGCGGGCGGATCACCTGAGGTCAGGAGTTCAAGACCAGCCTGACCAACACGGTGAAACCCCGTCTTAAATAAATAAATAAATAAAAATGAGCTAAACTCTCAAGATCAAGATTAAAAATTAAACAGTGTAACTTGGGGAGGGAAGAGGATGCGGGAGTGGGAGGAGAAGGCAGGCTGCAGGTGGGCCCTCCTGGCCTGGGTGGTATGTGTGACGAAAAGATGCAAAAGGAAACAGAGGCTGCTGGAGAGACAGAAGGGGAGGGTGAGGCAGACGGGAACCCACCAACACGCCCACAGTGGCACAGGCGGCGTCAAGGGCCTTGCTGCCGGAGGGTCTGCCGAATGCTCCAGGTAGCCAGCGTAGCCGTGACCGCCAAGACTTACAAGTCTCCCACCATGTGCAAAGCCGTGCCGGACACCGCGGGGAAGCAGACACCCCAGCAGGACAGCCGGGGCTAGGCAGACCAAGCCTGAGGATGGTGGGGAAGGCCACATGTGTGCAGAGGGAGCCAGGTAGACATGGGGGTGCTGGGTGGGGCTGCCCCACATGCCACATGGCAGGGCCCAGACAGGGGATGGGTTGCCTTTCGTTTTGTTCTGAGCGAAGCAGGAGGCCGTGAGAGCCAGTGCAGGGGGGCGACGCCGTAACTTGGAATTACAAAGAAGAGTTTACCAGGAAGGAGTGGGCAAGCTCAGCAGTGCAGGGAAATCGGACAGTGGCTGTGTCATGTCCACCTGACTCCCAGCGCCCTTGGGAGCCTCAGAGAAGCTCAGGGGATAGGTGAAGGAGCTACACCAGAGGTGCCGCTGATCAAGGACCCAGCTGGAGCTCCTGCTCATTTTTCAGGACGGGACACAGGAGAAAACGCCCCAGGCCCCAGATGGTGCGTGGTGCCAGAGACCTCACCCATCTGGCAAATGCCAAGACACAGCCCAAACCCCAAGCCAGAATCAGATCCTCAGAGACTTGCCACTCACAACTCGGCCCTCGAAAACCTCACCTAGGCATATCTGGTTACTGCTTCCGACTCATGGCAAAGGTCCACAAGGGCCTCTGCCCCTAGCGTGCTCCAAGCAGGGCGCTCACCTGGCTCCCATCGTCCTTATCGGGGAACTGGATGTTCACGTCATGCTCCAGCCGGATTTGGGTAATCACTGTCCCCTTTCTCCCGATAATCTTGGGATGGTATTTGGGGTCTACAGTGACACTCAGCTTAAAACTCCTTAAAGCCTACAAGGAAAGGAGCGAGAATGAGGCAAAGAGCTGACCCACCCTGTGACCCACACCCCCTTCCACGCTGGTCCTAGGACACGGGGGATGCTGCAGTGTTCTGTACCCTGTGGTCCGGAACAGTCCGGCATCTCTCCGTTCCCTGCCACCTTTCACTATCTGCTAATGAGACCCAGAAAACTTGGCTACTCCACAAGGAGGCCTATAAATCCTTCAAAAGAGGGCTTAGGGCTACTGGGGAAGACGGTGCTCAGGAACTGACAGAGCTGGGCAGTGAGTCCTGAGCTTGGGGCCCTCCTCTCCTAATCTGTCAAACAGGGATCTGATGGGTAGGCATAGAAATGCTCTGGGTCTTTTTGGGGCTGGGACAGATGCAGACCAAGAAGAGGGGGCAGCCACAGCCCCTGAACACCCATAGGTCACACCAAAGGCTTCAGGTATGATCTGGCTGCAGGACAGAACCTGGAGTCCACCGAGAGGTTGACGAGCTCCACCCCATTCACTAGACTCGACGTGCTGACTGCAGGATCGGAAAGCCAACCCCTCAGCCAACTGCCACCCAGCACAAGTCTGCTCCAAGTTTCTAGAACCCCTGCTCCAGGTGCAGCACTCCGCTCACGCAATCCTCCACAGGTCAGCCCTGACAGGCCGGGGCGTTCATCCCTGCGGTAGAGGTCAGTGGAGGTCCCCTGACGAACTCCCTGGCATGGCATATGCTTGGGAGCCTCTCACTACCCTTACCTTTACTGCAGGTCTCAGGTACCATTCTGATTTGGTTTTGAGAAACTGCAAATTTACACCTATGTCCAACTTGGTCACTTTTATATTAGAAAGAGAAAGGTGCCATGCTCTTAGCTACACGGCAAGACGTCGGGATGGTGACCGAATCCCACTGCCTGGCACTGCCTGGGTCTCATCTCCAGCCGCCCAGAGGTAATTGGGATGCTGGGATCTTGAAGAACTCCCCTAGATTCTGACGTGTGCCCAAAGCCGAGAACACAGGGCTCTGGGCAGCACGCAGCCACCTCCTACTCACCCGGTCCTCCTGCTCGGCCTGCAGTTCCTTCACACGCTCCAGCAGTCCAGCCTTGGCCCGGTCCAAATTTGCAGTGAGGCCCGTGATGGCGATGATGTCGGACTGCAGCTCAGGTGCTGGGACATGTATGTTCACCTGCGTGAAGAGGGGGCTGACTCGACGTTCAGGGCCCCAGAGAACAGGAAGCAGTCCACTGGCCCTGGGACCCAGAGGGAGTGAGAGAGAAGCCCACTGCCACGAAGGGAAAGCAGTGGAGGGGAGGCAGAGTCCATAGGAAGCTGAGAGGGGACACTGGCCCTCAGGAGAGGACGCGACAGGCCGCTGCTGGGCTGTGGCCTCCCGGGAAAGGGGTCTACCTCAAACTCATCCATCATCTTGCGGATCCCACTTCCTTTCTGCCCAATGATGTAACGGTGAAGGTCGAAGGGCACCTGTACTTCGATGGTGACAGGTACCAGGGCCTGCAGGGAGAGCGGTCATGGTCAGGCCGTGGGCCCCGAGAGCAGAGTGACCTTGTAAGCTCAGCCACAGGTCCCAGTGAACACACGGCAAACCACCCTGAGAGGACAGCAACATGCCCCAAGTGACAAGGCCACCAGGATCTTTAACTCAACAGAAAAGAACGGAAAAAGACTGGCCTTAGGCTAATGCTGGCAGACAACAATTCCAGACCCTTCACCCCAAGCCTATCTTCCTGAATGACAGTAGCCCCTTAAGGCCAACCTAGGAGGAGAGGCCTGACCCCTGGCACGTCCCTGAGGTCTTGATGGTTTCGGCCAAAGCCCAGGAGGTGCCACAGGGACTCTGCTGGACCGCTGCTCACATTCCCTGCACTGTCTCCCCAAAACCCTTCACCTCCAGAACCTGCTTCTTCTCAGCACAGCCCCGACCATCCCTTGCCACAGGAGGGATGTGTGTGTGTTGCCTGTCTCTCCACTGCACGGTGAAGCCAACTTTCTGTGCTGTGGCATCGAAGCACTGAGAGCAGCATCCAACGCGCAGGGCACACACCACTCGCTGCGCCCCACTCACATGCGGCTGGAGGTCCCATTCATCCCACTGCTACTGAGAGCGTTCCATAGCCCCCACACCCACTGTGGACTGGAGAGGTTGATCCCATGCAGCTGTCCCAGGAAGGTGCTGCAGAACCCGAGCTGTGGTGAAGGGAGGGGGCCTCCCGAAACTCTGTGTCCAGCAGAGGAGCACAGCCGGCCCGTGCGCACACATTAGGAACAAGACGAAGGGCTCCACTGTCACTGCCACCTGGGCATCCGTCCAGCCCATCCAGGCCATGCGCTTGGTGGAGGGCACATGGGGACACATACCTCCAGGGCTTCCTTGGCAGCCTCACACTTTTCTTTCCGGCCGGAGATGATGATGATGTCACACCTCCTTGGAGAGCCTGGGTCAGCGTCTTTGGCCTCTCTCCCCTCCCCTGCTTCATCCCCATTCTCCTGGACAACTGGCTCTACACTGTGAACTAGAGAGAAAGGGGAAAGGGGACAGCTGACAGCTGCTGGAGGAGACCCCATGCCTTGTTCAGAACACACACGTCTGTGAGGCACCTGCTGGGTGCTGGGTGGTAAAAGGGAGGAAACACCCCGTCTGTCCTTCAGGGTGTCTTGGTCTGGGTAGGAAGAGCAGATAGGACATTCCTACAGCAGCCACAGAAAGGGCTCCCAGGCCTAGTGGGGCCCTGAAGGCTGTGCAGGAGGCCGTGAGCTGTGTCTCCCTTCTTCACCTTGAAAATGAAGCTAACAGCATCTACAGCAGAGGCTTCGGTGAGATCAGATGAGTTAATTCATAGGAGGAACACAGGGCAGGCCCACTGCACATGTGGGGCTTGACTGCAGGGCCGCGTTCTCCAGGGAAGGTGGCCAGCACGCAGCTCCACCCAGGGGAGGCACTGTGGAGGGGGCGAGAGGTCTACAGGGGACAGAATGAGCCAGGCCAGGCTATGTGCCTCAGGAGTGAAGGGGCGCGTGAACAGGACACAGAAGGCCTGTGGAGGGGCTCCCACAGACCACGCTGCGACACCAGATGCGTGCCAAAACGGACACCACAGCAATACCTATCACTAAGACACAACCCAGGAGGCGTGTGATGAAAACAAATGAGCAGGAGACCAGACGCATGCCTGCCTAAAAGCAAGGGTGACCCTCGGGTGGGGAAGCAGGCGCTTCTGAAGGAGAAAAACTGGCAAATGGATTACTGATTACATATTAAACACTACTGTTACATAACATTAGACTGGATTCTGATAAATGTGCCAGAATTATGTAGGACAATGTCCTTGTTTTTAGAAAATAACCACCATGAATAAAGGGACATGTCTAAAAGTTACATTCAGAAAAAAAAAATAGGCGTGTAAAGGGGAGAAGTTGAGAAAACAAACTGGTGCCCCGGAGGTGTCTTTACACCATTCTGCAAATTACATCTAAGGTTAAAACAGCCACCGAGGCGTAAAACACAGATGGAGTGCAATATGATTAAAACAGCCCATATTCTCAGGAAAACAAAGGGGCTTGAAGGGCTGCGTGTGACGCTTCCTGGATGCCCAGAGGGATGGCACTATGTGAACACCTGCTGCAGACAGCTCAACCAAGACTGACACACGGAGTGCAGCGCACACGCACCTTCTGTTTCACAGACGCAGAGCAAGCCGGGGAGAGGCCGCCCACCACATCCCACACCTCCTCACCACCAGGTGACTGAGCAGAGCTGGGGGCAAGCAGGGTACTGGGAGCAAAATGCCCTCCTACAAGAGCTGCCAGTCACTTGGATGGTGCCCTCCGGCCGGCCAGAGGCTACAGCTGCCTGCCTCACAGGGGACACCCCAGAGTGACGGGAGGTGTGGAGAAGGAAGCTCTCTGATGGGGTTCATGTGATCCAAACATGTCATGAGAAATACTGGGGTTGAACTTGGGGCGCCCCGAGGATGAGGTGGCACGTTACTCGTCACCTCGCAACTTGCCGACATATGAAGGGCACCTGGTCACTCTGTCAATAACTGACATGGTCCATCTTTTAAAGCCCAGAGGATGACCCTGAACCTCTGGAAGCCCCCCGAATACACAGATGGTTTTCCAGCAGAGAGAGGAAAGAGCCTCACCAGTAAGTGTGACAGCTCTGCCTCTCACGTGAAAAGCACCACCATCGACAAGCAGAAGATGACTAAAGGGGACCCACCTGGGTTCTCCTCTCTGTCTGGGAACTTAATTTGAACACTGAAATCCCGAGTAATCTGCTGGATTCTGGAACCTTTGGGGCCCATGACAGATCGATGGAATTTCTGGGGTATAGCACATTCTAATGTCACCTGAGCTTCCTGGAGGGAGGTACACAAAGAAAAGAAAGAGCAAAGGTTAAATCCCTCGGGGCCTGTACGAAGTCTCAGCACTTCCTTCCTGTCCACCACAGCCACTCGGTACAGACACTTCCGTTCTGAGGTGAGTCCAGGGCTCCAGGTGCAGGGAGGAGGGAAGGTACTAGGGCATGTCCAAGAGGGTGGGCGGCCTCATTTTTTTTTGTTTGGAGATGGAGTCTCCTTCTGTCGCCAGGCTGGAGTGCAGTGGTGCGATCTTGGCTCACTGCAACCTGCCTCTCCTGGGTTCAAGTGATTCTCCTGCCTCAGCCTCTCGAGTACCTGGGACTACAGGTGCACGCCATCATGCCCAACCAATTTTTGTATTTTTAGTAGAGACGGCGTTTTACCATGTTGGCCAGGGTAAGGGTGGGCCTCCTTCTGAAATGTGTCCCTGCAGGGTGGCCGATTCAGCCAAAAGAGTGGGAACTTCTGTGGTGGCCTCTGACTCTATGAGGAGGCATCAGACTTGATTATCAGAGAAAAGGCATCCAGGCCCTGGCAGGGGAGCAGCCCAGAGGGGCATGGAGGGGACACTCTCTAAAGGCTGCTTTAGAAAAGAAACACATCTTCTCGTGACTTCCCCATGGATTCACGTGGATGCCCTCAGTCGATTTTCTTTCCTTCACAGAGGGGACAAGAGAGCTGACCCCTTACACAGACTGCATTTCCATGTTTTCTGACCCCTTACACAGACCATTTTCTCTGTCTCTCTTTTTCCTCTTAGACCCCTCCCCGAACACCCGAATGCCTACCAGGTCCTCAATGATCTCCTGAATGCGCCTCTTGGCTGCCTCCACACAGTCCTTGGCGCCCTTGAGGGCGACTTTGTCGCTCTGTGTGCCAGAGCGTGGGAAGCTGACCATCACGCCACCGTACTCTTCAGCAATCTCCCGCAAGACCTGGCCTCTTCGGATGACGAAGTGGCGGTGGTGCCTGGGGTCCACCAGCATGTAGTCTTCCACCACATTATCCTGACAAGAGATGAAGATAAGCCACCCCATCCCAGCCCCAGCAGAGCCGGCAGCCGAGGCCCGCTCCCTACCAGGTTTTGGATCAAGGCCTCCAGCTCCTTCTGTGCCTCCCGGACGGCGTCCTCCTTTCCGATGATGGTGATCAGGTCCTGGTCCTTGTCCTCGGCCGCAGGGAAGATGACGCGTGCTCCAGTGCTGTCACGCACCTTGCGGATTTTGCCGCCCCCCTTGCCAATGAGGAATTTGTGGTACTCCGGCTTGGCGCGGATGTCAACAGTGAAACTCTTGGTTTGCTGCAGAAGGCAACCCCACTCTGTTAGTCAGACACCACATGCCTGGGCCACAGTGAGGAGACAAGAGGGCCTGGAGGACAGCAGTGCTGGGCCCCCTACACTGTCACCAGTGCCCTGATGTTGCAGCACCCCCAAAATGGGGCTGGCACGCCTCGCCGAATCCGACAGACAGACTGCACGCACACCTCTCTTCCACAACGATCAGATGCTGGTGCTGATGACCACACAGGCTTAGACCCTGGTCCTGCCACTTGGAAGCAGCACTGAGCAAGCTTCCCCAAGCCACTTTTCATCTGTAGGGGGCAGAGGGAGCAATGCACTGGGTGATGTGTGGGCAGAGTGGGGTGTGCCCAGAAGAGCAGGAACAAGCCACCCGAGAGCCTACACTATGCTCCTGCTCTTCTAACCACTTCTAGACCAAGCCCACACACCTGGACCAGGCTTCCTTTGCTCTCATGACTGCTACAGATCAGCCCCACAAAACCAGCCGCTCCCAGGCTCAAGCAAGCTCAACTCAGAGGGACGGAAGCCACCCAAGGCTACAGTTAGAGACCAGTCCTCAGAGGCCTCGGAGAGCATGACACCCTCGTGTGGCACCAAGAAACGAAGGGTCCTGAAAAGGCCCTGGACACTGTGACCTGTGGACACCACTGCCTCTGGCAACTTCTCCAGGGGACACAGTGCAACGCGCTGCTCTACGTGACTCAGATCCACCAGGGGAGCTCCTGCTGTTCTCCGGACCCAAGACCTGGCCCGCAAGCCAGAGCACCAAAGAAACACGTGCTGGCAGAAAAATATTAAATGACAACTTTGCTATATTTTAGGTGCAGGTTTCACCAAATACCACCCAAAGACTCTGCTGCTCTTCAGACACATCCACCAACAGCAGCATTAGTCAAAAACCAATCAAAAGGCAAATCCAATCTAGCAATACGGTAAAGGACAACCTACCAAACCCAGGGTTACCTCAGAAATGCAAGACTGGCCAAACCTAAAGACAGAAAGTCAGTCTAATGCAACCTAACAACAGAAAGACAGAAATACGAGGCTCCAGATCAGAGAGAAATCTAACTGTTCACAGACCACGTGACTGATCACGTAAGAATCCACAAAAGAGTGCCTAGCACTAAGACGTGGGCCTCATTGAGCAGTCTCACGGAGGTGGGCATACAACACTCACAACACTCCTCCACACACTAACAACCAGAAATGGGAAAAAGCGCCATTTGCAACAGCACGAAAAGGACAGTAGCAGAACATAAAAGTGTGCAGGATCTGTATGACAAAATGAAAACAATGAAGAATCACAGACCTGAAGAAAATGAAGACATGACTCAGAGTCAAAACTGCTGAGCTGTCAATCCTCAGCAGCCTCATCTTCAGATTCACCACAATCACAACCAAAACATGAAAATGTCGTTTTCCTACAAACGGACAGGCTGACTCAGCCAGGGATACAGAACAGCCAAAGTTAAGAGGGCTTGGGCCGGGCGCGGTGGCAGTGGCTCACACCTGTAATCCCAGCACTTTGGGAGGCTAAGGCGGGCGGATCACCTGAGGCCGGGAGTTCGAGACCAGCCTGGCCAACATGGCAAAACCCCCGCCCTACTAAACGTACAACCATTAGCCGGGCGTGGCGGCGGGTGCCTGTAATCCCAGCTACTTGTGCCTCTGAACCCCAGCCTGGGTAACAAGAACAAGACCCCATCTCAAAAAGAAAAAGGGTTTCTGACACAAGGACAAGAGCCATTCAACGGGCAATCTTTGGGGGTGACAGAAAATGAATTTTTATTGTTGTGGTGGCCACATGACTGCAGATTAAAACTCAACTATACCTGAAGAATGGTCAGTTTTACTGTAAATTGTACTTAACAAAAACACCCCAAAACTAATAAGCAAAAGAGCAACTTTTACATATTGTATAAGTGAGATTTGGACCTAGAAAGGCTCTTAAGTAACAGCAAAAACAAACAGGCATAAAAAGCGTATTATAAAGCTCTTTTCTAACCTGCCACAAAGGAAGGGCATTTGGGGTTTCCACAATGAAGAGAACACTGCTGGCGACCAGATTTCCTGCCAAGAGGCACTGTGATGCCCCTCCCCATGCTCACCTTCTCTTCCGCCAGATGCAGGAGCTGCTTCTTGGCCTTCTCCACATCCGAGGAAGGGCCCCTGATAACAACAGTGTCGCTTCCTGAACCTTCCACGGGAAAGTGAATGTGGACTCCGCCGCACTCCTCCATGATTGAGCGGATCAGACGGCCCTTGGTGCCAATGAGGGAGTTGTGCAGCTTGGCAGGGATGGAGACCTCTACCTCCGCTATGTTGGCCTGAAACCAGACACAGAGCAGGAGGAGGAAGTCACATTTTTGGGGCAAAAAAGGGAGAGAGGAAAAGATAAACTATCATCTTTGGCGATGATGAACACACAGGCTTAGAACCCTGGTCCTGCCACTTACAAGCACTGACCAAACTTCCGCAAGGCATTTTCGATCCGCAGAGAGGGAGGAGGGACCAACACACTGGACCATGTGCTGGCAGAGTGGGCTGCGCTCAGCAGAGCAGGTGCACTGGGAGGTGTTAACTAAGCAGGACCTGGAGTCTTTGTGAATGTGTGTTGGGTTGGGAGGTGGGAGCGTGGTCATTTCAGACCACACATAATGCTCTGCCTCTTCAATCAACTCTCTGGCTCTGCCTAGTAGAGGTGGGTCTGACATGCCTATGGATTAACTTCTAACAGAACCAAAAATTCTGCTTTCAGCCAAAATGCAACACCAGGGACTGGACTGATCTTAAGGCCTAATGGTGATTTTCAAGACCCTGGAGACAGGAAACAAGGTGAGCCCAACATCTGCCCCAAGTTGCTGCTGCAGCACAGGCAAGTGAGGAAACAGAACCACAAATCCAAGAGGACCAAGATAGCAAGAATAGGAGGTCCGAGCCCAAACAGACTGGCACCAAGAACCTCTGCGATCTGGAGAACAACCACTCATACACTGACACACAAGAAAATCACCTCAGGACCAGGGAAGAAGCACCAGGAAACAGTGTCTGCAGCTCAGTCACCGGGACACAGTGCCCGCAGCTCAGTCACCGGGACACAGTGCCCGCAGCTCAGTCGGGGCCTGGTACAGTACCCGCAGCTCAGTCACCGGGAAACAGTGCCCGCAGCTCAGTCACTGGGACACAGTGCCCGCAGCTCAGTCACCGGGACACAGTGCCCGCACCTCAGTCACCGGGACACAGTGCCCGCAGCTCAGTCGGGGCCTGGTACAGTACCCGCAGCTCAGTCACTGGGACACAGTGCCCGCAGCTCAGTCACCGGGACACAGTGCCCGCACCTCAGTCACCGGGACACAGTGCCCGCAGCTCAGTCACCGGGACACAGTACCGACAGCTCAGTCACCGGGACACAGTGCCCGCAGCTCAGTCACCGGGACACAGTGCCCGCAGCTCAGTCACCGGGAAACAGTGCCCGCAGCTCAGTCACTGGGACACAGTGCCCGCAGCTCAGTCGGGGCCTGGTACAGTACCCGCAGCTCAGTCACTGGGACACAGTGCCCGCAGCTCAGTCACCGGGGCACAGTGCCCGCAGCTCAGTCACCGGGACACAGTGCCCGCAGCTGGACTGGGGCCGGGTCCCATGCCATCCTCAGCAGGTTTAAGCTTTCTGGGACATGGAGTATAGCACTCAGAAGGATCTTACCTCAGAATGGAAATATCTGGGCCTGAACTAAAGCTGCTCTGACCCTCCCTAATGAATCTCGAAGGCAGGTCCTAAAAAGAGCAAACTGTTTCAGAGGAACTTTGCAAAGCCACAAATATTCCAAGGAATACAGAAACACCGTTACCGAGAAATGCCGGAAATGCAGAGAATAGGGGAAAAACCTATCATGAGGAAAAGAAAATAGAAAACCACCCAGACAGAAATGACAGTGTTAGAATCAGCTGGCCAAGGAGCCTAAAACAGGTATTTAACCGTATCATCTATGGTCAAAAGCCCAAAGAAAGACTGAACAGACAAGATATTAAGAAAAGATTCAGACTGAACTTCTCGAGAAGAAAACAACATCTGCAATGAAAATTACACTAGATGAAATGATGCAGATTAGAGCACTGCGGAGAACTAATGGATTTAGAGAAACTGATGGAGAAAACCAATACCGCTCCTCCTCCCAACCCAGCAGACCACGAGCAGAACACAACTAATACCCAGGTCACTAGAGTCCCTGATGGGGACACGGGAAGCGGCCAACAGAAGGAAGATTCGGAGTGACCAAAAACGCTCCACATTTGATGAAATTCTGAACACAGATATCCAAGAAGTTCAATAAATACCAAGCTAAGAAACATGAAGAAAACTACACAGAGACACATCAAAACTTGCTCAGAGCTGGTGGTAAAACCTTAAAGGCAGCCAGAGGGAGGAGATCTGTCACGGACAGAGGAACAAAGCCAGGGTGACACTGGCTTTCTCACCAGAGACCACAGGAGACAGCACTGATGCCAAGCCTAGAAAGAAAACACTGCCAACCTGGAAACCTGTATGCAGCAGAAACATTTTTCAAACACGAAGAAAAAAATGCTTTCAGACACACAAAAAGTGAAATAATTCACAACCAGATACACGCTATGAGCGACATTAAGTGGTACCTTTCGGACAGAAGGAAAATGACAAGGATCACACAAGGAAATGAAGAGCTTTAGAAATGGCAACTGTGTGGATAAACACATACATTTCTCATATTATTTAAATCTCTTTAAAAAACAATGGAATTTTTTAAGAGTTTAATGATGTACCATGGGGTTACACAAAATGACAGGACTTCAACCCAGCATGTAAAATAATCACATCATGGTGACTAAGCACCTGGAGGTGGGGGCCGTTTTTGCCTAATGGGTCTAGTTTCCGTTTAAGCTGATGGAAAATGCTCTGAAAATGGAAAGGGTGATGGCTGCACAACCTTGTGAATGTACTTAGTTGAATTAACCATTCAAAAAGGGTTAAAATGATAAATTCTGCTATATATCTTTTACTACAGTTGAGAAAATTTACAGTAAAAGCAAATTAACCACGCTTGTTAAATATATGTAATAAATGTAAGTATGTGAGACGTAACAATATATAATCACATATGTAATTAAAAGCAAACTTTTTTTTTTTTTTTGAGACAAGGTCTGGCTCTGAGGCCCAGGCCCGAGTGCAGCAGCAAGATCTCAGCCCCCTGCAGCCTCTACCTCCCGAGTAGTCGGGGCCATAGTTATGCGCCACCACGCCCGGCTAAGTCTTTTTGTATTTTTGGCAGTGATGCAGCTTTACCAGCTGCCCAGGCTGGTCTTGAACTCAAGTGAGCTCAAGTGATCCGCCCACCTCAACCTCCCAAAGTGCTGGGATTACAGGCATGAGCCACCATGCCTGACCACAAACATCATAATCTAAAAAGCAGAGACAGATTTAATTTTAAAAAGCAAGCTGCCAAAAAGAAACCCACTTTACTATCACATAAAGTAGGCTGGGTGCAGTGGCTCACACCTGTAATCCCAGCAGTTTGGGAGGCCAAGGTGAGAGGAGCTTGGACAACACAACAAGACCTCATCTCTACTAACTAAAAAAAAAATCAGCCAGGTGTGGTAGCATGCACCTGTGGTCCCAGCTACTTGGAAGGCTGTGGGAGGACTGCTTCAGTCTGGTAGGCCAAGGCTGTATTTTGTAGTAAGCCATGATTGTGCCACTGCACTCCAGCCCGGACGACAGCAAGACCTCATCCTTATAAGGGGGAAAAAAAAGGTAACACAGACTTTGGAGGCAAGCATACTACCAGGGAAAAGACATCATTTTATAGTGGCACAGGTGACATATATTATGAACGACAGGTGACATCAGTATTGACAGTGAAAGGGTAATGCAGGAATGTTCTGAAAAACTTCATGTTAATAAATCTGACAACTTGGAGAAAATAGAAAACCCCTTGGAAGACACTAATGACCAAGTACACACAGAAAGAAACATCATCTGTCCACACAGCACAACATTACCCCAAAACAGAACAAACAGAACAGAGCAATGACACAGGTGACAGCACAGAGCAACGTCAAGCAGGCGGGCCCGATGAAGAGAAGATGCCGTGACTGCATCCACCCGCAAGAGGACAGGCCGGAAGGGGACAGGGCGGTGGGGGCGGTGGGAGTGCGGTCCTGAGGAGCTGCTGAGTGCAATGGACGGAGACCGTAATACAAAATGGCAAGGGATTTTTGGGGTGACGTCGGGGATGATCCCAAGGATGGATACAGACGTCAGAACTATGGAACTGCACGTCATAAATACGTACAATTTACTGCATGTTTATTTTTTTAAATAAAGAAAATACTGTAAATACCTTCGGATAAGATTTTCAAGTAACAGCAGGAAAATGTCTAATAAGACAAGTGCCCATGTCAAACGTCACTGCTGCAGGTCCAGGTAAGTCAGCATCATGACAGACAAAGGCAGAGAACTGCTGGCCAAGCCATCTGAAAGCTGCCACTTTCTGCATCTGCCACCCACCTGCGTCTGTGCTGGCCCAATGACCCTGTGGGACTCAATCTTAGAGGCTGCTAGAGATTTTACTGGTGGACCTCCCTTAGAAAACACCTCCCATTACCAGGTCTTTCTGGATAGACAGAATCCTGCTCCGGGCGGCTTCGCAGTTGGCCCGCTTGCCTGTGATGACAATGGTCTCTGAATTGCTGTTCTCTGCTGGAAGATCAATCTTGGTGTTGCTTTCCTCACGAATCTACAGGGAGGGAGACCACATGAGCAGCTGACTAGAGCTCTCCCAGAGTTGACACACAGGCGAGCACAGGGCTTTCTCGTCCAAAACTGAAATGGTGCAGGACTACAGGGGACAGGGCAAGAAGCAGTGAGATGCAGGGGTCAAGACATCACCTTTTTAATGTTTGCACCTCCTTTCCCAATGATGTTCTTGTGGAACTGTTTGAAGATCGGAACAGAAATTGAGTAGCTGTTTTCCACCTTAAAGACAAAAAAAAACCCACAGCCCGATTCACCACCCGTGCTAGAGAGTGAAGTCCAGTAACTTCTCCCCAAGGGTAGCACGAACATGACAGGGCACTGGTATTTGCACAGGCCTTCAGAGGTTTGTCATGAGGGTGAGATCATTTGTCCACCAACTAACCGATCTTGCAACTTATAGTCAATGGATGCAAGGATGCAAGTCCACGTTTTTCTTTTTTGAGACAGTCTCATCCTATCCCGCAGGCCAGATGCAGTGGTGTGATCTCAGCTCACTGCAACCTCTACCTCCCGGGTTCAAGTGATTCTTCTGCCGCAGCCTCCCGAGCAGCTGGGATTACAGGCATGTGCTACCACACCTGGCTAATTTTCATATTTTTAGTTGAGATGGGTTTTCACCATATTGACCATACTGGTCTCCAACTTTTGACCTAGTGATCCGCCCACCTCTGCCTCCCAAAGTGCTGGCATTACAGGCACGAGCCACCACGCCCGGCCACTCTTTTTGGCTAACAGAGTTCAGGTCCAATGCCAGGGTCAGAGCTGGCTAAGGGGCTCAGAACACACACGGAGACAGCACGGACCCTTATACTCCGGGCAATTCAGCACTTGGCAGTGACGTGACTGCAGCTCACAGCGCTGGAGTCCCTCACCGTCGCCTCTCTCAGGACAGCCAGCAGCTAAGCCGAAGACCATGGAAATACATGGCAGCCCGTGGCCTTCCCATCCACTACTCAATACACTTTCTAAACCTGTTCCCATTTCAGTTTTTGAGAAAAATAATAAATCAGTATACGACTCCCCATTTCACCTGTTATACCTCTCACCTTACTGGATGGGATGGTTTCTCGGGGCATCTGAAGACTCAAGGAAACAAGGTAACTGGGCATGAGAAAAGGCAAATCTCCCCACCTGAATTCCAGAAACACTGCAGTCTTGACAACGACTGCCAATGCAAACACCCAGGTATAAAGTGAGAAGTCGTCACCATTTTGTCCCAAGTCCCTGAGACGGAAGATCAGCCCAGTGCCCATGTGCCTTCCCCAGAGCACAGGTCCTGGTGGGGAGTCAGGGTTTCTGACAGGATGCACACCCCACCCGGCCCAGATGTCGCCATACAAGAAAGAATACAAAACAGCCCCTACCAGATCTGCCACCATCTTCTGCATGTACTTTGTGCATTTTTCCACCTCATTCTTGGGTCCTCTGAGCTGGACGATGTCACTTTTTTGTGCTGGGTCTGGGAAATTGATAATAACCTAGAACAAATCATTGGGCGCCTAAGTTCAATTATGAGGAAGGACAGGATTCCCAGATATCAAATTTTCCTGAAGGGTGACCTGGATCACTCCTGCAGGGTTAGATAAAGTCTCTGGGAAACAGAGGTGGAGGTTGTGGTGAGCCGAGATCGCGCCATTGCACTCCAGCCTGGGTAACACGAGCGAAACTCCGTCTCAAAAAAAAAAAAAAAAAAAAAGTCTCTGGGAAACTTTACCTCTGGGAATTTGTCACGAATTTCACGGATCCGTTCGCCTTTCTGCCCAATGATTGTGCGATGAAATCTCTGCTCAATGATTAGATCCTTGGTACGCTCATTTTCCTAAAAACACAATTAAAGTAGATGTCACTTATCACAAGCATGGTGAGCAACTGCCTGCTGACTCAAGGGGGCAGCAGGGAGCCCTGGGCATAGTCCTTTGGGAGCAGGTGAGGTGGCCTAGGTGGCACCTTGTAGCAGCCCTGGGAGTAACCAGCCGTCAGAACATGTGGGGCATGACGAGCACACGCCAGCCAAGGCTACACCCCACAACACTGGCTGCGCATCACCTTCCTGAACGAAGTACAGGTAAAGGACTCACTGCAGGGCCCTTCAAACCGAAGTGCTATCATGATAGTGGCAATCACCAAAGCAACTCAGTGAGCACTTCTGTTTGAACAGGTACTAGAGGGAGGTCCAGCTCTTCTACGTGGAGGCTCAGCATTCTGCACAGCAGGGGGTGATGCCTTCTGAGTAGAGGGTGGCTCGGACCACTTTCCCTGCGTGGGTAAGAACGTTCAACACAGGGCACTGAACCCACGTGGCTCTCAACTCCTCCACAGGTCCCACTAAAACGTCAGAAGGAATACAGATGACTAAGCAGAGCTGGAATCCAGGGAAGAACACCAACCTACCAAATGTTTCTGAGAATTCTGGATCCAACTGCTGTCAGATGACAGAGAAGTGAGGGCTCAGCAACCAGGAAGGGCATAAAGCAGCCAGGGAAAGGACCTGGGCTAGAGGCCAGGCTAAGAGGAGAACCTGGGATATGAAGCTGGGGACTGAGCTCCGAGAAGGCCGGAAGCAGTGGGAGGCTGCACCACGCTGGATTGCAGCTCAGGGCTACAAAAGAGGTCTGCCAATTTCAGATTCCGCACGTGGGAAATGGGTGAGATAAACAAAGAATTCCCCACGTGAAGCAAATGACAGGGAACCCTGGGACTTGTTCCTCACAGAGGCAGAAGTGCTGCTGCAGACACTCACGTAATAATTGACTTCTCTGGATACTTAAAGGCACCCAGAGACTTTCAAGGGTGGGCATCTGACTAACAGAAGCAAGGGAGCTTACGGCTTGGCATAAGCGTGTACGAGGGGAGCCCAGGGCAGTGCAGTGCTTCTGCCGGGTGGCAGACAGCAAGGGGGGCCCAGGGCCGTGCAGTGCTTCTGCCGGGTGGCGGACAGCAAGGGGAGCCCAGGGCAGTGCAGTGCTTCTGCCGGGTGCAGGCGGCAACAGCCCCCACTCCAGGTTTGCAGACGATGCAGCAGTGATCCTCCGGATTGGCCTTACGTGAGAACCACCTGAGATGCCTTTGAGAATCCAGAAATGTCTGTCACAGTCTCTGGAGTTGGTACCCAGGCATCTGGGAAGCCAGGGTGTAGCCAAGGCCAAAAGGCTGCCACACAGTTTCTGTGCCTTTCTAGCACAGCACACAGCCATGGAGGATAAGACATGCAGGTGACCCGGGGAGGATGAGGGAAATGTGGCCCCAGGGAGACAGATCCGGGTCCAGCGCATGTGGGATTGGGTGACTTCCATTCTCCAAGGCCGCACACCACAACGAAGGGCGCCAACAGGCGCGGGACCCGTGCCTTCCCAGAGGCCCCAGCCGTGGCGCTTACCATGCGAGACGCAAGCTCCAGCAGCTCTCGCTTGGCCTGCTGCACACCCTGCGGGTCCCCCTCGATGCGGATCAGGTTGCTCTTCTCATTGTCGGGAGGGATGCGCACGGACACCTTGTACTGGTCTTTGATTCTGTTTACTGAGGAAAGCAAAAGGAAACGCATTCAGGATACAGGACCAACAACATTCTGCCCATGGCTAATAACCAGGCAGGACAGGGCTGAGGCATGGAACAACCTTATCGGTGACTCCCGTTCACCAAAAACGATGCTTAACTTCCAACACAAGAATCGCCGCTGCCTAGAATAGGGGCCAGTTACGATCTTCACCCGGATCCCAAGGGTTCTGGAGGACAGGCTCTCAGACTTGACCACAAGTTGGCACTGCCCCGAGACCTTCGACTAACTCACGGTTGGGGCCACCCAGTCTTGGGATTTAGAGGCTCTAACATATGGCCGGGGCTTCAGAATTTAAAAGACTCCAGGTGTTTCTAATGTGCAAGTAAGTTTGGGAATTACTATTCTCAAGTTAAAAAATCACACACATTAACTCCACACGAAAGCACTCACTGATGCCTAAGACCCCATCCATTGCTGGCTGAGCTCCAAACTGAGCACTTCACTGTGTCTGCAAGACAAGTGCTGTTGCAAACCCTCCCGCTGTCAACCTCTCTAAATAGAACCCCAGGTTAGAGTCCAGGCCCCCCAAACTCCGGAGAAGCGTATCATGGGGAAACAAGGAGTGCAGTCAAGGAAAGCTCAGCTTGCTGGAAGGACTGCCAGGAGAGCTTTCTGTGCATTCCATCCCCAACGCATGCACGTGCAGAGGCGGCAAAAAGGCCACGCACTGAGAGGCTGATATGGACATGCAGCTGTTCCGGGTGGAGCAACACAAGACAAGAGAAGCAGAGGACATGGAGCTGGGCAGCAGGTGTTTTTAGATTACGAAAGAAAACAAGAGTTAGGAACTGTGTGAGAAGAAAACAGAACAGACACGACTCACTAAGCTACGTTCTGCAATTTCTAGGGAGCAGAAATCAGAAATTCATGTTAGAATTATACTACTGTACTTCCATATATATGTATTTTGAGACAGGGTCTTGCTCTGTCACCCAGGCTACAATGCAGTGGCACAATCATGGCTCACTGCAGCCTTGACCTCCTGGGCGCAAGAGATATTCCTGCCTCAGCCTCCGGAGTAGCTGGGACCACAGGCCCGGCTAAATTTTTCTTCTTTTGTAGTCTTATTATGTTGCCCAGGCTCATCTCGAACTCTTGGGCTCAAGTGATCCTCCTGCCCTGGCCTCCCAAAATGCCAGGATTACAGGCAAGAGCCACTGTGTCAGGCCTAAGTAAAAACCGCAGTTAATCAAAACAACAAAACCGTAAAAGCAAGTTTACGGTGTGCGCATGGTTCAAGCAGTGTGCATAAAGGTCACTTTGTGCCTGTAGACTCTCGTGCTGTCATGTAAAAGGCCCACAAAACTTAAGAGTGACACCAGAGAGCTCACCATGCACAGGCCCACAGCAAAGCTGACAAGCCTGTTTACTCCTAACAAAAATGGACACATGGGCAGCAGTCCTGGTCCCACCACCTGGGAAAGCTCCTTCATCCATGAACTATCCGGGAATGGGGATGTGCTTCCCTTGTCACCTTCCACCCAAAGGTGACACACACATGTGCACTTGTTTTCAGAACACGCAGGCACTGTGATGTGTGGGTACAGCCACACAGCTAAAGGAGGAGGTTTAAAAAAAACATTCTTGGCAGGGTGTGGTGGCTCACGCCTGTAATCCCAGCACTTTGGGAGGTCGAGGCAGGCAGATCAACTGAGGTCAGGAGTTTGAGACCAGCCTAGGCAACATGCTGAAATCCCATCCCTACTAAAAATACAAAAATTAGCCTGGCGTGGTGGTGCATGCCTGTAATCCCAGCTACTCGGGAGGCTGAGGCAGGAGAATCGCTTAAACCCAGGAGGTGGAGGTTGCAGTGAGCCGAGATCGTGCCACTGCACTCCAGGCTGGGTGACAGAGACTCTGCCTCAAAAATAAAAAACATGCTTGGACTTGAGCAGTGCGCTCACATGACACAGTCGCAACAGCACCTACAGCCTGGCACAGGGAGGCACGTGCTCATCCAGGCTGATACATCACTGCCTCTGCAACAGAACCCCCCTTGCTGGGCGGGGTGGCTCACACATTTAATCCTGGCACTTTTAGAGGCCAAGGTGGGCAGGCGCATTACCTGAGACCAGGAGTTCAAGACCAGACTGGGCAACATGGTGAAACCCTGTCTCTACTAAAAGTACCAAACTAGCCGGGTGTGAAGACGGGCGCCTGTAGTCCCAACTACTCAGGAGGCTGAGGCAGGAGAATCACTTGAGCCCGGGAGGCAAAGGTTGTAGTGAGCTGAGACTGTGCCACTACACTGCAGCCTGGGTGACAGAGCGAAACTTTGTCTCAAAAAAAAAAAAAAAAAAAGGAATCCCTCCCTCCCCATGTCGTTTTACTTGAGCATAATCTAGAAATTTTTCACTCTTCAGTGAGCTCCAGATCAGCAGTTTCCACGTTCAGAAGACACGAGTACTACAAACACTGATGGGCTGACATAGCAGGTCTGACTGAAATGCGAAGGATGCTGCCTTCAACATGGCCCCTGTGGGTTATGCGGGGAAGACCTGGATGGATTTCCAACAGTGACAATTCACCCACTGGCCAGACAGCTCTAACCCAACCACTGTGCCAAGGGGAAAAGGAAAAGGGGCCTCTTCCAGCAGGCAGGAGGATGTGAAGTCTGAAACTCCCGTGGCAGGCAGCACTGGGCCCGGACTGTCTGCACAGATGTCCTAGCTCTCACAGCTGACACCCCCCGGCCAAGGGTCTCAGGGCGCACTGGCCCCACCGCAGCAGCCAGCCTCACTCACTGTTGGCGCCACTCTTCCCAATGAGGTGCCTGTGGAACTTGTGGTCGATGTTGATCTCGACGTAGTCCATCCGGTTAATCTGCGGGAGGAGCACACGGGCCCACGGATGCGCCTGGTTACTTGACCAACAGGCTGAACCCCAAACCCAGCAGTCTCCACACTTGTGTCTTCTGACCACTCAGCTGGCAGAATTATTGGAGACTGCTCCCACGTCTGCCCTGAAAGATGCCTTCTTCAAAGCAGAGTTTCCTCTACCCAGGATTATTCCGGGACTTCAGCCAGCTTCTAGTTTCAGAATCTATTACTCACCCAGCTAGGATGCCCTGTGGTGTCTGTGCCCAGCCACGTGGCATGCCACTGAGAGATGACCGCCCGTGCCCAACTCAGAGCCTCCCTTGTCACCAGCACACACGACGTTCCAAGGGCACTTACCAGATCTTTGACCATGCTTTCTATCTGTTCCTGGGCCACACTGACATCCTCGGTAGGGCCCTCCAGGGTGATCTTGTCTTCGCCCTCTGTGAACTCGATGTGAACCTACCATACCAAAACCAAACAGACAGCTAAAACATGATGGCACAGCTGCAGCGCCTCAGCTCCCAGTGAGCAGTCTCTGGTCCTCAGAGGGCACACAGGTGCCCTCTTGGGAGCAGCGGCTGATCCCAAACCGCTTCACATAGATGTGAGGGAGGAAGGGACATATCCACAGGCACCAAGCAAGGCTGAAAGGGAGGGTGAGAAGCTATTATCAGGAAACTGAATACTGTGGCCTGATAATCCTTGCCTTTCACCGACAACACTGTTTGTCCCCGCGAAGGCCACTAGCATAAAGCATGTGATCTGCTCATGCATCATCTTAGCTGTTAAAAGGCCTAGTCCTCTTTAGTTGCATAAAGAATGAGACAGAGCATGGACACAGTTTTAAAACTAGTATAAGCTGCACAAAGGTGGTAAAGTGACTTGCTCAACACAGACAAGGCTGCTGGCTGTTCTGATTTGTTACCCTCCAGGTAAGGAGGGACGGAAGGGAGACTGGTCCTTATATGAAGCTATAGAAAGTAAAAGGGGGGCTGGACACCTCAACACAGACAAGGCTGCTGGCTGTCCTGATGTATTACCCTCCAGGTAAGGAGGGACGGAAGGGAGACTGGTCCTTATATGAAGCTATAAAAAGTAAAAGGGGGGCTGGCCACAGTGACTCACCTGTAGTCTTAACATTTTGGGAGGCAGAGGCAGGAGGACTACTTGAGCCCAAGAGTTCGAGCTGGGCAACATAGCGAGACCCTGCCTCCACAAAAAAAGTTTAGAACTAGCTTGGGGTGGTGGTGCACGCCTGAAGTGCCAGCTACTCGGGAAGCTGAGACGAGAGGATTGCTTGAGCCATGAGTTCAAGGTTGCAGTGAACTATGATTGCGCCACTGCACCCTAGCTGGGTGACAGACTGAGACTTTGTAACTAGAAAGAATAAAATAAACTTTATTTTTGAAAAGGACAGAACATTAACTGGAAACTAAGTCTAAACAGAACAGGGGTTAAATATGATGGCTGTTTCCCCTGCTATTTCTTTTCTGTTCATGTTTCCTTTGGTAAACTGAGAATACTTTAAATTCACACTTAATACAATTTATATACAAGTTCTGCTCTTCAAACTACTATGAAGTTATTTCACCGTAATTACTAAATGACACGTTTCTTAAAATACTTATGAAACCTAACAATACACAATCCTCCCTGGTTAAAGGCCAGAAGGATGGTACAGACGTCGACAGGCATTTATGCCGACCTTGCTCAGCTAACCATGAAGTCGACCATGTCAAACAGGATGGTTAACTTAGAAAAATACAGCAGTTTTCAAGGGAGTTCACAGGATAAAGCTCCAAGAAAGCAATGTCAGAGACAGAGACAGAAAACAAGACAAATTCCACACACCAGGCGAAAACGCGCCCTCACCTTTGGCATCTGCTGAGTGATTTTGGCCAGGTTCTGTCCTTTCTTGCCAATGATGAAACGGTGAAGCCAGGAAGGGGCGGCGACAGAGGAGACGGTGAAGCTATTGGCCTAAGAACATGGGAAAACAGCCATGGGTTTGCAGAGCTCAAGGTCATGTCACAACAGAAGCCAGGCTGCTCATCCGGGGCTGAGAGGCCAGCACTCCCCAAACACAGGAACCTGCACTGTGTCCAGGTCCCAGGATTACAAATCAGAGCTCATGCACAAAGGCCCCGTGGACTCCACTGAAAGGGGAGGCACGGAAAGCTCAGAGGCGGTTACCTTGGCATAGACTTCAGTCAACGCCTGACCTAACTTTTCAGGCTCGCCTCGAAGTATTACAGTCTCTGAGATGCTGTCTGAGGGTGGGATCTCAACTGAAACGCCGGTTCTCTCAAGGATCTCCTGCAAAGAATTGCCCTTGGGCCCGATGACATACTTGTGCTGGGATTTCTTCACTTCCACTGCGATGGTTGTGGTCTTCTTTTTCTAAATAAGAGCACCAGTAGGGGCAGTCAAAGGGAAAGGTGTGGGGAGTGGGCAGGCAGGCACCGCCAGTGCTGCAGAAAGCAGGCCGCAGTGGCCCAGACTACAGAAGCTGGTCCCAAGAAGTGAACAACAAGTGATCAGGACCAGCCAATCCCCAGAAGCCTCACTGCTCAAGGACTGGATTTTCCTCCCAGTCTACGCACCCGCCGGCTGATCAATTCGTCCTTAAACGCTGGAAAACACCCAACCCTTTTCTTCAACTAAGGAACACGTTTCAGACTTCAAAGTTCACTAAACTGAGCTAACAGCTTAATCCAAGATGTGAACAAGTCTGAGCTGTACACCTGATCCTGGGGTAGCTGGCGGCCTGTCAGCACAGCCAGAGGCCCAGGACAGTGAGGACAAGTACCCTGCACATGCTCAGCAGCAAGGTAGGGGCGGGCACCAACCTCACACCGGTCACTCAAGTGTAGAGGCAGTAAGCATCTTCATCAAGGATGAAAAGGTAAGCGGCAGAACCGGGCCTTAACTGAATCTCCAGACCCAAATCCTCGTTTCTCTTCCTGCCCACGGGGACTGGTCTCCTCTACACCGCCTACCTTCTCCTCATAAATCTTCTTGATGCGAGCCACAGCCTGAGCCAACTGCTCCTTCTCTCCAGTAAAGACGATCTCCGTCCGGTTCACGCTGGGTGGGGGAATGTTGATGCGTGTCCCTGTCTCCTGCATGATCTCGCCAACCAGCCTGTTATACGGCCCGGCGATGAAGGGATGGAATGCCTTTTCTACTTCTAGCCTCTCCACGGCACGTTTGTCCTGGAAACGAAGGGACGAACGATGAGAACAGGCCTTCTGAAAACCGACTGGGGACAGACGGGACTTTTTAGGGTTGGAGTCAAGCTTTCCAGTCCCATCACACTATGCCTTTAAGTCGACGCTGGGCACAGTAACCCATGACGGAGTGAGGTCTGCCCCAGCAGACAGACAGGGGCACGAGGCCCTCACACCGGCCTCACCTGCTCGGCAGAGATGAGTAAGACTTCATGGCGAGCTTTCTCGATGCCCTCTTTGGTGCCAGTGATCTTGATCTGATTGCTGGGGTCATCCGGGCGTGGGATCTGGATTTTGGTTGCAGTTTTTAGCTCCAAGTCTTGCAGTTTCTCTCCATTTTTGCCAATAACAAAGCGATGGTGTTCTTTGGGAATAGCAACAGTTGCTGAGGCCTAGAGCAAGAAGAGAATCAAAGAAAACAAGAACATTTGTAGGTTCTGAAGGAGATTTTTCCAAGGCAGTCTCTCTGGCAGAAACACCATCTTTGCTTATTCTTGCCCTCCAGCCCCAACCCGTCCATCAGAACAGAGTGCGCTTAAAGGTCACGTGCTTGGGGAAACGTACCCTGACTCCCAGGCTAGGGTAAGTTCAAGAGCATCTGCACCACTACTTAACATCCATTGGAATATACACCCACAAAAGGAGACAAGAGAAAACAGTCACAAAGGCTGGACAGCAAGAAGCACGTGACTGCATATCCAGAAACCCTGAGAACACTACTGGGCTAAATTCTATTTACAGCAAGGAGAACAGACTGAAATCCAGAAATTAACAGCTTTAACTTCCTCAAACAGCAACTACTTAGAAGATGCATTTCTCATGGAAGAAAAGAAAAAACGAGGACAAGGGAATAGCGAGATAAGCCCAGCACAAGGCGGAGTACGTGCACTAGAAGTTAGAAAATGCTCCTTAAAAGAGCTAAAAGAAGGTTTAAGTGATAAAGACGGTAATTGTTCCGATTAACTTTAAAATATTAATACCATTTCAAACAGCTGATTATAAAGGTTGTAATACAGAATAAACAAGAAAACCCTGAAAAAGAACGGGCAGAGGTGTGAACAGTGGTACTAGAATTAAACATGACACCCTTATCATCAACACAGGAAGTATCAGCATATGGAAAGACAGACCATCCTGCTGGTCAGAACTGAAAACCCAGAAACAGACCTAAGTTAACATGAACATCTAGGACATGGTAAAAGCAGCCCCTCAAGCAAGGCACTGGAGGAAACGGCCTTTTCAAGGTGGTGCTGGCAGGCCTATAATCCCAGCACTCCAGGAGGCCGAGGTGAGAGGACTGTTTGAGCCCAGGAGTCCCAGATCAGCCTGGAAAACACAGTGAGACCACACTTCCACAAGAATTTTAAAAATTAGCCGGGCGTGGGGCCGCATGCCCGTGGTCCCAGCTACTGGGGTCCCGGCTATTGGGGTGGCTGAGGCAGGAGGACTGCCTGAGCCTAGCAGATTGAGGCCGCAGTGAGCCGTGATCATGCCACAGCACTTCAGCTTATGTGGCAGACTGAGACCCTGTGTTAAAACAAAAACCTGGTGCTCACAACTCAACAGTCACATGGAAAAAGGTGAAACGCGACCAGTGCCTTAACCCTATTTGCAGTAAATTCCAAACGGATCAGGAACTGAAATGTAAGAACATATTTATAAGCAGCAGAAGAAAATATAAACTTTCTTATGACATGATGGTGAAAAAAACTTTCCTAACAATAACTCAAGATAATAAAAAAAATGCAAGTGGCCCTTATATATTGAAAGGTGCTCAGTCTTGCTCATCAGAAAAATGCAAATTAAAGGTATATTCAGTTGCCTCTCACACTGGCCAAAACCCAAGTATGTGATGAGCCTGGCCCTTGTGTACTGCGGATGAGAGTAAAAAACACTAATTCCTAAGGATGGAAATTTAGCATCAGATGGCCCAATTCCATATGCAGTCTCTCTCTTGACCCAGCCAGCTCACGTCTAGGAATCTGTCCCAAGATACACTGGGTAAAATAGGAAACAGCATATGCACAAGATTTTTACTGTAACATAATTTTATAACAGCTAGTCTGGAAACTACCCAAATGCCCATCAGTAGGAGAGCCTGGGTAATTACAGCATGCCTACAGAGTGCCACAACACTGCTGTGTAAAGGAAGGAGAAAAACCACTGCTTGTTGATATACAGACACCTAAATACAGAAGGAAAAAAGCAAGGCATAGGAAAGGGTGCACAGCAAGCTGTATTTTGCTTCTACTCTCAAATACAAACAGCAAAGGATAAACCGGGACCAGCCATGGCCCCTGCACAGGTGGGGAGGGAGCAGGGGGAAGATAACAGGCTGGGGAGATTTCTCTGAAAGAACTTTATATATAACGTTGACTTTGCAAACATGTAAACGTTGAAATACTTTTAAAACACTGAAAATAAATGGAAACAAATATACCTAACTATATCAAGATGACAGGAAAACGGAGAAAAAAAAAATTGCTTCAAGTGATTCTGAACTGATGGTTTTCCTTTTTTGAGACAGGCTCTCACTGTCACCCAGGCTGGGTTGTGGTGGTGCAAACACCACTCACAGAAGCCTCCACCTCCCACACTGAAACAATCCTCTCTCCTCAGACTTCCAAGTAGCTGGGATGACAGGTGAGCGCCACACCATGCCCAGCTATTTTTTGCGGAGATGGGGTTTCTCCCTGTTGCCCAGGCTGGCCTCAAATTCCTGGGCTCACGCAAGCTGCTGGCCTCGGCGTCCCAAAGTGAGAGCCACTGCCTGATTTTCCTTTCATAAAAGCACAACTTTCCTAGCTCTGTTTTCTGAAAAAGTCTAGAAGCTCTGATGACCCAGTCGTGATGTGCAATCATGGAGACTGGAGTCTCCACAACTATAATTTCCTACTCAAAAGGTCCAGAGTTCTCAGAAAAATAGCTGATTCAAGGTCTGTGTAAGGAGATACTAAGACTAGCCCGAGGCGTCTTTCTGTGTTAGAAATTAAGAAGTTACTGATATTAGTGGGTCACGGCAGAAAGCTGCAGGGAACAAAACGGAAAGGAGGGGCCACATGCCAAAGATGAGGCAGCTGCTGCATAAAGAATGACGGACACGCCAAAAATGCCTGAGTGCGTAACGACACGAAGAAGAGTCACCGATCAGCACCGAGGCCACCAGGGTGCCATTTATCTGGCACTTCCCACTCAACTCTTGATGAAGAAAAATTCTTCTTTACAAGAATTACCAACTAATGTATGAACAGGGAGACAATCAGAAAACCGTAACTCGCAGCCCTTAGCGAATCTGGGCAGTCATCAGCAACTGACGGTGAAACGATGACACAAAGGACTGATAAGAAACTTTATGAGGGAAGACACCAGACCTGAGCCTGCTGGCCAATCTCAGAATCAGAACAAGCAGAACAACCAGCGATCACAGCAAGGACTCAGCGCCACCTACAGAATCTCTTCTTTTTTTTTTTTTTTTTTTGTGGGGGAAAGGAGTCTTGCTCTGTAGCCAGGCTGGAGTGCAGTGGCACAATCTTGGCTCACTGCAACCTCCGCCTCCTGGGTTCAAGTAATTCCCCTGCCTCAGCCTCTGGAGTAGCTGCGATTATAGGAGGATGCCACCACTCTGGCTAATTTTTTTTTTGTATTTTAGTAGAGATGGGGTTTCACGTCAGTCACAGCCCGCTTGGCCTCCCAAAGTGCTGGGATTACAGATGTGAGCCACCACTCCCTGCCGAGCCTTCTTGCCAAACAAGCTGACTGTGGAAGTAACCAAGCCCCTGAAGATCTGACACCAGTTCACCAAAAATAGTCAGTGAACAGCAGAACAAATCAAACACCCATTGTCCCCAATAATCAATGGCATTAAAAAAAGGGAGGATGGGCTGGGCATGGTGGCTCATGTCTGCAATTACAATACTTTGGGAGGCTTAAGTGGGTGGATCATTGAGCCTAAGGGTTCAAGATCAGCCTGGGCAACGTGGTAAAAATGCATATCTACCAAAAAAAAAACCCCAAAAGGCCGGGCCTGGTGGCATATGGCTGCAGTCTCAGCTACCTGAAGGGCTGAGTCAGGAGGATCGCTTGAGCCCAGGAGGTCAAGGCTGTTGTGAGCAGTGTTTGTACCACTGCACTCCAGCCTAGGTGACAACGTGGGATCCTGTCTCAAAAGCGGGGGGGTGGGGGGGAAGTGAGTACTGTCACAGGAGACACTCAGGACTCTACAATCAGCGCAACACTGGGACCAGTTTGGACACTGATTTGAATGGACCAACTGGAAGAAACAGCTTTGAGATGACGGGGGAAAGCCACACACAGCCTGGGTTAAACATAGATACGGTATTAAAAAACCGCGATCAGTATGATTACACGAGTTAAGAGCACAATTATTACACGTATGTATATATAAGAACAGGGGCTTCTCTGAAGTAAGGCACAATAATGTGTCTGGAATTTGTTTTAAGATAATCAAGGGGCAAGAGAGTACGTCAGGGCAAATTTCTTCATTCTGATCCGTATGTTCAGTGAAGTGGCCCTTTCCCCTGCAGTGTTCATTACAAAACAGTACAAAACAGCAGACACCGGCACAAGTTTCAGAACCTATTATGCACAGCCACAATGCTAGACAATGACAAGCAACACTGTCACCTTCATTAACACTTAATGGTTTAATTCCATGAAGCCAGCTGGGGTTTGGGACCGTCCTGATGCTCTCATGTGGTTGAGTAAGTGGCAAAGCTGGACTTCATCAGGCGGCACTCCTCCACCTCCTGGCTGCACCTCGCGCTACCCCTGGGCCCCTCTTCCATCAGATCCCCACCGTCCAACCACCGGGCTCCAGACCCGGCTCCCACAAGAAGACTCAGTAGCAGATGAGAAGAACCCCGAATCCTAAATAAGCCCATCTAGTACAATAGCGGCCACACAACGTTTTAATACGATTCTCCACATTTTCTTTTGGTCTTTAAGTGCTGCCACTTAGAGAGAAATGAATCAGAGATTTGCTTATTTATCACAAACTTCTTCAAGTCCAAGTACTGGCATCAGACCGCCAAAGACTAGGAAACTGGCTTACAACAGAATCTGAACTTGTCACCTCCTGAATTCGGGGCCTAGTAATGAGCATTTAGTTAACACACTAGCAACACACTGGAACTACCCTTCTTCACCATGCAGCAAGCCTAGTTTCAGTGTCTCAAATTCCGGGACAAGCCTCTAACTCTCAGTTCAGCCGGACATGGTCGTGTGCCTGTAACCCAGCTAACCAGGAGCCTGGGTGGACTGCCCGAGCCCAGGGGTTCTAGGCCACAGTGTACCATCATCACACTTGTGAATAGCCACTGCACAACAGCCTAGACAACAGACTGAGACTGTCTCTTAAAAGAAAAAATCATTATTACTTTCAAGTTCATTCACTCAAAGAGCAAAAATGCTAAGTGTCCCAGTTTTATTATTAGTTTAGTGGGTTTTTTCACTAAAAATGCCAGGGGACTCTCAGTGTTGCTGTCTTACCTCCAAAAGACTGAACTGCCCCAGGGGTAGGAAGAGTCCAGTAAAGTTCTAGCCTGCATCAGGAGCCAGCAGTATGGGTCGGTGGGGAGAAGTAGGCCTCAGGCTACCCACCTGAGTCTGCAGTCTAGCAACAATGTCCTTCCGAGCTTTCATGACAGCATCCAGCTTTCCCGACACCATGATGGACAGGCCTTGGTCTTTGGCCAAAGACAGCTCCAGGTGAGCGCCGGTTCTCTGCATGATCTCAAGGCAGATTTTTGCTTGTTCACCTTCTCCAAATTGGTTCATATCCTTGTATTTTCTCTCCTCCAGGGGTACATGGAACACCTGCTCACAAAAGATCAAAAAAGGGAAGGTAAAGAGACTAAAAGAAGGCCAGTAGACACAGAGTAAAGAACATGTGTTCATTACCATCCACTCACAAAGTAGCCCTGCCCTGCACACAGGCACTGCTCGAAGCCCTGGGATAAAGCAGCTGGAAGGCAAGGAGACAGTGCCAAGGTCAGGGGGCTGGCATCCTAAGGAGAGGAGAACTACATCGGCTGCACAAATGAACGAGGGGCCAGTAAGTGCTGTGAGGAAATCAACAGGGAGAAAGTGGGGGTAGACCCTGGGGAGGGCCAGGAAACCTTCCTGAAGCACGAGGCAGCGATCCATGCTAGGAGGTGAGGGAACTAAGGGTGTGCAGGCAGGACAGCCGAGGAGGTGAACAGGGGTGGAGCCTGCTGAGCACACCAGAGGGACACTTAAGAGGATCACCCAGCCCACCCTGTAGTAAAAATCAATACAGGGTTTCCAGCAGGACGCACTCTGCTTTTCAGCTCAGGGTCCCTCCAGCTGCTTTATGGAGAAGGACTGAGGAGGAACAAAGAGGAAGCAGGAGGGATCAACTACTCTGGTTTGAGACCAGAGTCACCAAGTACACAGCGGTACAACGAACAGACAGCAGGCAGGCGGAAATGGGGGGACTGGGATGCAACTGCTGATGAGCCTAAAATTCAGGGAAGACACTGGCAGAAAGATGGTAATTTTCCACCATGACCGGATGATAGGAGTTTCTATGAAAGTTTTGCAACTCACCAACATTTCAAATTCAGGTAGCAGAGAGAAGGGCTAGTGAAGCCAAAGAAAACCAGGAAACTGGTTAACCGCTTCTGGAAAGCGGCACGATGAGCACAGAACAGAATACAGGACCCAGTGGTCTGACAAATGCTGCCGGCAGACCGACTGTGAGCCAGCCCTTCTGAGAGCCGGCACACGGGGTGGACAGGACAGGGGCGGTCGGCAGAAACACCTCTGGGGTGGGGACTGATTTCCCTTGAAGGCATTCTCCCTTTAGCTACTCAAAGCATTCTCATTTTTTGCATGTTCAAAAACTCTTCCATCAGATCCTCCGCTTGGAAGGATAGGTTAAGAAAGGACAGCAATGAATTTTTAAAAATGTAAAAAATGTACATGGACATGTTGCATGATAAAATTTTTAAAAGACAGAAAGAATGGCGTTTCTACCTGAGTGATGACAGAAGCCTTGATGGGCCGGATCTTGTTACCCCAGGCTCCAGCGGGCTCCTGGGCACTTTCCAGGCAAGCAGCTTTCTCAGGAAGTGGAGGGAAGGCATCCTTGTAGGTTGGAGGGTCACTCTCCTCTTCTGAATTTAGAGTGGCAACTGGACCAGCCGACACAGATGAAGAGACAGCACGACTTTTAGCATGACACGAAAAACACTTTAAAGAGTTTTAATGCTTAAAACCAGACAGACAAAGAAAAACACCAAATGCTCCAGGGACAAGCTCCCCAACCCTCTCTCCTCATTCATAGTGACAGGAAAGGCCCCAGGAGGTCACCAGGCCTAGCACCCTGTGTGCGCTAGAGGAGGCCAGAAACTCCAGGTCTCTGACAGCTAAGCTATGCCCTGCACCGAGTGTACATCAGAGGAGCAACTGACCGACGCCCATCTACACAGCCTCCCCAGTGAGCATCAGCTCAGACACTGTGAGCCCCACTCCCCCAACAGGGTGAACCCGATGTAAGGCTGTGGTGGCCACACAGGGTCGTGGGGTGTCCCTTATGCTGTGTTGAGGTGCAGGATCCAAGAGGTAAAGAGACAAGACACTGAAGAACTGGTGAAAAGGATCTGGACTCAGGGGGGCCACACCACCTGCGAGTGGAGATCAGCGGTGGCCCCCAAATGCCCAACAGCATCTGTATTTATCAGGTACAAGCAGGGGCAGGGTCGTGAGTGAGGTCATCGTCTACAGACTTAGTAATAGGGCCTACATAATCACGTGAGTTACAAGCGAGGGGACCACGCCATTATGTCACCTGGGCAGAGAGGTGGGCCGTGCGCAGCAGGAGAGGGTCATGTACAGAAAAGGGGTCCACCCCCATTAGGTCACCGAGACAAGGAGGTGGGCTGTGTGCAGCAGGTGTCGTACACAACACTTCTTATCTGGGGGCTGGAGACTTCAAAGGGTTTCTAATAGAAGGATGCTGGAAGCTTAATGCATTGGGAGCTGACAGACTTGTGCTCTTAAGGTATTTATGGCAGGATGATTTGAGCTAATACAGAAGCAAGAAAAGACTGACAGGGTGTAAAGCCGCTGTGACTGGTCACACCAGAGGGGTTCTTCTCCCTTGGTTACTTCCAGGATGTCAGGCCTGAGGCCTACTTTCCACAGGAACTGGATGCAAGGTTCTACAAGTCCTTTATCAGGGGGAGGGGCTCCTGCTCCAAGCCTGCCATACAGCATATGCCCTTTCAGGCAGGGATGCCACCGCTGGGGTCTTTGGTTCTTGTCCTGGTCTGGCTGCTTTCCCATGTACTGCTTCTGTTCTGGGACTGCTCTAGGCATTCCTCCCACTATAAACTACTATATGGTTATATAGAAGGATTCTATAAATCAGCACTGAGTGTGTCAGTACAGCTCTGACTACAACACCTATATGATTATATAGAAAGATTATATGGAACTAAGTATGCTAGGTATATGTAACCAGTAAGTTACTCTTCAAGCACTAATTCTAAGAACTAATATATGATTATACATTAAGGACTACATAAAGGAAACAGCTGAGTAATACTATAAATTAACGTATTCTTCAGACACTAGTTGTGCCTGGGGTTTGGACAGTTCTCCTTCCTCAGTGACCATGGTGGGGGCATTACCCACAGCTCTGAAAGCAAGTCTTGCTACGTCAATTTTTAAGTCCCCTAGAGTCTAATAACATACTTTAAAAATCCCAACGATGACAATGGTAGGCAGAGTAGCCCTTATATTTGCAAACTAATGGTCCAGCCTGGCACAACCTATGACAACTGCCTTTGAGGTACACTCTGATTTTCCACTGTAACGTGCGGTGTTAAAAATGACAGCCGTGGGAACTGTCACCACCGATATCCCCTGCCCTGCCCAAGGCAGAGGACAGCAAGGCTTGTGGAAATCAGGTTCCCTGATTGTCATCACTTCCATCTTCCTTAGTGCCAATTTGTTCATGTTTTTGTGCCATGAGCCACGGTCTCCATGAAATCAAGGGTGTGACTGTTTTGGGCAACCCCAAATCCCCAGTAGCAAGGCCCACTGAAAAACACCGTGAATGGATGTGACAGAGAACAGGGGGATGACCTCTGGACTCGGACAGGCCCGCGCCTGAGTCCAGGCCCACCACTTCCTAGGGGCACCCCATGCTACCCGGCAGTGCTGAGACAACAGGTGAGTGGATCCTTTCAGTGCTGTCTTTCCTCTCTAGAAAGGGAAAAACAGACCTCACAGGGAAGCTGGCTCAAGTAGGAAGATCCCAGGTCCCCAGAACAAAGCAGCTTCTGGGGTTCCAACGGCCAACACAGCAACCACTACAAATGAGCTTGTGAAATGTGGCTAGTGTGACTGAGGAAAAGTGAATTTTACGTTTTAATTAATTTTAATTTAAGAACTGATACTCAACTTACTTATGAGGAAACTTTTAAGTGGGTTTGGAACAAGCTGGAGTAGAACAATCTGCTCTTTCAAATGAAGATTTTACGAACTCTAATCACGGGTCAAGGATTTTGGATGTAAATTTGGCATTCAAATGGAAAGGAATGTCCTGTAGTTGTAAATACGCATCAGATTTTAAAGAGAAATAATCTAAAATATCAATGATTTTTCCATTTTTCTTTTTTTTTTTAAACATTAAAAAGATGTTGAAATGACAATGCATTAGACAGACTGGGTAAGATATCAAAATTAATTTCACCTTTTCCTTTTAATAAGTACTACAGAATCCTAAAAATTACAGATGTGGCCTACAGTCCATTCTGCTGTACAGTGCTGCTCTTCATCCCAGCCAGTGCTATGTAAGGACTCAGAATCCAGGACCCAGCCTTCGCCCTCACGGCAGGCTGAAGCAACACTCTGGGATGCCTCACAGCCCAGATGCTAGTTCACCAGAACCAGGAAAAGGACTGCATTAATTACCAATGGTCGGATTCACTGGCTGTCCTGAAAGCTGTCCCCATTTTAAATCTCACTGTACCCGATTCATTTCCTCGTGCCAGGTCAATCGCCCCCGCATACATCACAATGCAAACTAGTGCACAAGATGGTGGGGCCTCGCCGCCCCACAGTCACAGGGCCAGAACGTACTTCTAGAAAGGGCGCGGGGTCTGGTAAAGGCTTTACACAGCGCACCGCCTCAGACGTTACCAGGAAGCGCACAGAAAACGGCCGTCACCTTTGATCTGCTGCGGAACCAGCCCACTTCGGTGTTCGGCAAAACTCTCCTGGGTCAAAACTGCAACGGAGCTCATGGTTGATCTCACACCTACACACAATCCGGGAAAAGCACTAAAGCAAAGAAGAATAGATCAGAAGTCAACGTACAACTCTCAATTACCTATGAGCTTGTTAACCTAGGAGTTTCGGCGAAAATCTTATCCCCTTTTTTACCAGCAAACTATACCTTTTCTTACTTTCCTCACAACCTCTGTTGTAGGCTAGTATCTAAACTCTCACCAAGTGATAAAAAGGGGGAAATTGCAACAGAGGAGGTCTTACAGCAGGGGTGGCCAATCTGTTGTCTTCGCTGGACCACAGTGCAAGAATTATCTTGGGCCGCACATAAAATAAACTATGATAGCTATAAGAAAGTTTACAAACTGGCGTTGGGCTGCGTGTTGAACAAGCTTGTCCTAGAACTGCTGTCCCCTCCAAAGTCGCCGGTAATGGAGGAGCTCATCTTCCACTCAGGGGCAGTCTGTACCACCCCTGCCCGCAGCGGGGCGAGGGGCACTGGAACCTGACACCTGTCTGAGCCAGGGTCCAGGCACAGATCACCACCAGGATCATTCTAACAGCTACCTTGGTTATTCTGTCAATTTGCTCACCACACACCTGTTAATGCTCACAAAACGCATCGAGACAGTTGCTACAAAAAGCCAGCCAGTCTCCGCAAGTTGCATCCAGGGCCCAAACTAAATCACCTCCCAATCTCAAGCAGGTGGTAGCTGTGTTGCCAGGCAAAAGCAGCCTCAGTGCTTTGTAGCAACAATAACAGACCCACAAATCGAGCTAAAAGCCCTTGATCCATACTGACTGGTTATTCTCCTCTTGCACAGCAAGGGGAACCTGGCCCCAGGGCACAGAGTTCCTCGGATCGGCAGAGCCACAGTGCTCCACAGGACATGGCCTCTGAAAGCCACAGCTCCCTCATTGAAAAATGGGGTACATTCGGCATTCTGAGGTAGGAGTGTTAGCTTCCTCCCCCCTTCCCTCTTCCCAGTTCCAGGTGGGCTCCAAACTACTATGGTGAGGAGAAATCCGGTTTCTTCACACAGTTATGCATCAGTTACTGGCAGAAGGCCAAGTCATAAGGAGTGAATTCTGTGTAATTTTTAAAACATAATTAAGGCCTCTTCTCGAGTTCAAGAAAATTAAGGCCTGCAATCCTAAAGAGAAGACCCCCATTCAGGTAATACCTAATAAACATAATTCGCATTTAAGAAAAAAAGAAAAGATAAAACACTGATGGAAGCCAGATGATACATCCAGAGGAGACATGACTGCAGACAGTTCCTGCTGGGAGGCGAAGCTATAGAGACATCTCTGACGAACCACTAGAAACTTGAGGGTGCAAAGAAAGAAGGCACACACAGGATTAAGAAATACACACCCTCGTGCTCCCAGGTCTATACACAACCCAGGGACAGAAAGTCTTCAGACAGGGTCCAACTTACCAGCAAAACGGTCAGTAGCCAGAAAGTCCGTCCTGGGGCCGCCTGTCAGCCTGCCAGCTTTTGCTGGTATGGGATAGGAAGCAAGAGAGAAGAGGGAGGCAAGGAGAGAAAAGTTACTTATCTTCATTTCACAGCCCAGGTCTTTTTACCTCCAAGCAGAAAAGGTCAAGGTATGATTTATGCTTTGGCTACTAACACAAATACTCAGGGAAGTTTCTTGGAAAAAAAAATTAAGCCATTAGCTTGAAACAAAACACGTTACAGTAAAACCTGAAATCAGCTCCAGCTTTCAGAGGACAACTATTCCAGCGACCTGAGGGAGTGATCTTTTAAGCCCAAACTTCTACATTGAACCATTTTGAAGTAAAATCCTCACAAAACTGATCTCACACGGTTGGATCATCTTTCCTGTATCCCACTTAACCCCAGATGGCTGAACCAGAGCTGAGCTCTGACCTACAACAGAACGTGGACCTGGGGCTCTGCCACGCTCATGCTGACCGAGAGCTCCTGCCTTCAAGAATTCTCTGTGTATTTCGCAGTTACTCTGTTCTTCTTGCTGTCATCCTGTAAAAGTCCTTCAGTCCTTTCTAATCCACTGGGATTTAGAAACCGGGTCATAAAATGGCAGGATTGAAAGGAGCCTTCAAAGGCTGTCTGGGGAGGACCAAGAACTCTGTGAAGAGGAGGGTGAGTCACCTCGCCCCGGGGGACTCTGGGTAGGGGAGGCCTTCGACCACATGTGCTCCTAGACTATGAAAAGAAAAGGTGGAACAGCTGACAGGAGTAAAGCTTGTGTCTAAAATGGGAGAAGCAATGACAGTAACAGGAGCACCCCACTCAGCTGGAGACTACCACTAATACCCTGATGACAATCTTGGCCATAAGACACATGGGTCCGGAGCCAGGAAGGCAGTTCATGGCAACGGGAGTGCATCGAGGAGACTGGATTAAAAGGGTCTCATCCTTCCAGCAGAGGATGTGGACTGGAGGTATTTCAGGATCCTAATCCTGGTTATGATTTTTAAAAAAACTAAATACAGGGCTTGAGTCACATAGGGAACCTGCCACAAACCAGACACACTATGGGCCCAGACACACAGATGCACCCCCAGACTGAAGAGGGGACAAGCTGGGACAAACCGAACAAGAATATTCCCTTTAAATGCATCACCAAAAAATTCTAGTTTGCAGGTTTTAAAGATGAAAGTGAGAAAACACCTCCAAAGTGTCAGAGTAGCACATTCACAACTTGGCAAGTGATCCCTGAGATTCCAAGTGTCTGGCCAGTCTGGGAGCAAACTGGGGCAGGTCGCTCTAGGCTAAGGTGTTCCACCAGGTGTCCAGTGACACTTGCCTCTGGCCTCCTGCATCCGCCCTCTGCCCTCCCACTCTTGCTTGCTGACTATCCAGCTTGCATGGTCTCTCACTCAAGGTTGTCCCAGGCTCCAATGACACTTCTTAAACCTAGACACCCACCCCCTTATCAAGCCAGGTTCTGGGCTCAGAGCCCAGTGACAGCCACACTGTAAGTTTGCAAATTGCAGTTCCGTCCATGTCAGCTTGCACCGACTCTCCAGCACAGAGCTGTGACGGGCCAATGCCCACTCTGCCCCTAGTGTCAGTCTCTTCATAGACCACTCACACACCCTTCAGGCACCAAGTCCAGCCAGACCCTACACTGACAGGAGTGTCAACACAAGGGAACCTACTCCTGTGTCCAAGGGAGACCCTGGAGCAGAGTCTCTCGTGTTCCTCAGCCGTGCATAGACCCTCAGGCGGCCAGGAGAGGCAGAAGGCAGACCTCCAGAAGACTCCAGACTGGTCCGACAGGCTACACTGGGTCCCTGGCCTCCAGACTGCAGATGGCAGTTCGTCAGAGCTTGCAGCCAATGGTTCACAACTAGACACATTTAGCACCTAGAGTTCTGGTATCATCAAACAGCATTTTGTCTTTCTTCCAAACAACTCAAAAACCTTGAAGAATGAGTTTAAGCATCTGATGATCCACATGTAAATGGCAGGCCCTGTCCTCCCCATCTGAAATTCTGGGGAGGTTTTCTTGAAAGTCAGCCTCATTCTCCTTCTGTGCCCCCAAGCCAGTAAGGCGCAGCCCAGGGGTTCAACTGCCTCTGGTTCAACAAAGCGGCAACTAGGAAGCTGTCCCCACAGCTCCATGTCCACCCCGTACTGTTCTGCCCTTCTGGCTCTGCCTCCACAGACAACACCCACAAGGTTTAATCCTCTTCCACGTGGATCTCTCAGCAACCTCAGGAAAACGTCAGGCTGAGTGTGCTCTCCACCTAGCTCTTCCACTTGGTATCTGAAGTTCCCAGGAGACCCTGGGCAGGCCCAGTTACCAAAGAACAGAGGCTAAACATCTGGTATCTCAGATTCTCACTGGATCTAACAGTATTGCTCAAATCAGGATTGAAAGGAACCTTTGATATTACTCTAATCCAATTTCTTACCACCACCAGGGACAGGAAGTTCGTGACCCTCTCAGGGAGCCCAGTGCCACTCCCGCATGGCTGTGAACGCTCTGCCTCAAGTTATGACAGAGTCTACAACTTCTGTTGTAGATTGGGTCATGGAGAACAAGTCTGCTCTTCTCCAAGGCTCCTTCTGGCGGGTGAGCTCTGTCCCGTCTCCTTCAGTCCCACCCACATGGCCCCTGTCCCTACTGATTCTGGTTGCTCTCAACCACTTTCCCCATTAGAAGCTCCAGGTCCACCTAATGTAAATCTCTAACTATACTGAACCTGGACTTTAGATTTTGTTTTCCAGAGTATAAATGTCCACAGCAAAAAAAAAGGGTCATATCTCAGAATTTAACTTTCAGCAAACACAAGTAGAACTAAAGGAAGAAGGGCAGGAAGTAAGACCCCTTTCTACCCTAATACGTGTGGAGCAAAATGTGAATTTGGGACAGAGCCGTGTGTTCTGTAGGAACCTGGTGCTCACAAGTTTAGCACAAGTTCAACAGGGTTCTGACAGCAACAAGAAGGCTCCACATGAGGGGTTCCACTTTTTTGCTTTTAAGCAAGGAAGTTTTTAAGTTGATTCCCTTGTGATAAGTTTTGCCAACTACATATTCAATGGGCAACAATCTTCGAAGAGAACTATCAGTAATAGTCCAGGAAGAATTTCATTTCAGCCTCAGCTAATGAGACCCGCGAGTGCTTCACACACCCGACAGGACTGGGTATGGAGGGCATCAAAAACCTCCCGCTGAAGTCGACTTCTCCTCTTCCAAAAGTCAAACTGTCCAAGACTACAAACCAAAGTGCAGAACGGGAAATAAAATCCTGATCCACTCAAAGATCACAAGACCAAAATCTAGGAGCGGCCGCAGTCCACTGGCTAGTAGAAGGCAGGCTCCGCACTTCTCACCAAGTTCTGGAAGTCGGCACCCATCCTGCATGGAGGAACTTTCGCAGATGCCACCTCAGCACGGCCCTCCCACAGGCCACGAGGGCCCGCGGGCGGGGACAGGCTTAAAGGGACAGCAACCCCCTCGGCCTCCCAGCCTTTCATCCAAATTCGGTATTTTTCCGTAATGTATTTTTCATCCACGACCCTGGGGCATGTCCAAGTTGCACTCCAGGCCGGAGGAGGGCAGCTTTCCCCACCCCCGACCACGTAGACGGGCACGGGCACCACGCGGCAGGTGGAGGTGCTGCGGGGCCCCGTCACCCAGCCTGTGCCCAGACCCGAGCTCCGCCACCACCTGGGGGGAAGGACACCACTGGCCTCTCACGGACCCCTGCCCGGGCCGCACAAGGCGCCCCCAGCTGGCCGGGGCAGCCCGAGCTGGGGGAGGGGGCGGCCCCGCGGGGAGCGGGGGAGGGGAGGACCGGCCCGCCAACGTCAGCGACCTGGGCGCAGGTCGGCCGCCCCTCCCCCGTGCCGGGGCCAAGGCTCCGGGAGCGCCTAGCTGAAGCCCCGGAGGCGGCGGGGGAGCCTAGGAGCCTAGCTTACAGCCAGGAGCGGCCCAGCGGGACTTGGGAAAGTTTGTGCGCGCCCCTCCCCGCCGTGGTCACGCGCAGGGGGGACTCGGAGCCGGCCCTGGGCCCGGCCTGGAACCGCCACGCGCGGTGAGCAGGACGCTCGTGGGCGGGGGCCGCGGCACCCAGCCCCTCCCCCTCCGAGGCCTCCACGTCGGCAGCCCCCACGCCCTCCAAACCCGCCCACACGCCCAGGCCTCCCCAGCCTGGCCACAAGCTCACTCGTGGGCCCCCGCCCGCTGGTCCTGCCGCTTGCTCGCTCGCTCGCTCGCCCGCCCGCCGCGCGGGAGAAGCCGGGACGCTCCGAGGCGCGGCGCCCGGGCCCCGGCTGCTATATAGGGCGGCGGCCCAATCCCGCCCGGACACGTCAGCGCCCCGCCTGCCCCGCCGCCGGGGTCCCCCGCTGTCCCGGGCCGCCCAGCACCCGGGAGGCCCACCCAACTCCAGGCGTGGTTCTGCATCCTTTTTTCGGGTGGAGAGGGCGGTGCCGAGGAGTTGGGAAATTAATCACCTCTAGAAAGCAGAGGGAGTGCGCCCCGCAAGAGCCCCAGGGTGGAAACGACCGGAGGCCAGAGAGGGAGCAGGAAGGACGGCTGCTCTGGAAGCAGATGTCGCCAGTACCGCCCGCCTCCCCAAAGTCACAGAAGAAAAACCATGAAGGACGCCCACCACCTCGTCAACGGACGGCCCCACCGGCGCGAGGTCCGACAGCGCAGTGAGGCTCCCAGGCGGCTCTGGGACTTTTATTCCCTCATCCTCGCGTCTGTTCCTTATGTCCCTCACTTTTATAAACTATCCCCACTCAATTCCTTGGCACAATCTTCCCCTAAAATATAAAACCCCCTTCCTTTAAAGCGTGCATTACTTACGGCCCCATCTCCATCTATAACGTAGGTGCATACACCGAAAAGAACCGGTGTGTGGCCTCCGCGCCCGCGGGGAGCGGAAGGGAATCTCTACTCTCAGGGGGTCTCCACCCTCAGGGACGGACTTGTCACTTCTGCGTCCATTGTGTTTACTTAGTGATAACTACCACTGTTTCAAGGGTATAAGGTGAGTCGAGAACTCTCTAGAGATGTCAGTCTGAACCTCCGGCAAAGTTGCAGGTGAGCAGAATCCTGCATAGGGCACAGGATCAGCTACAGGTATCTGGGGACAAGACCGTCCCACACAGGGAAATTGACAGGAGCACACCCAGCTTTACCCAGGGAACAGGGTCATGTACGCACAGCCTGCAGCCGGGCCATGGGTGCTGCTGAGGATGGTGGGAGCTGGGTGAGGGCTGAAAGGAAAGCAGGATCAGAAGTATTTCTTTTTGAGGAACACTGACAGTAAGTGGTCAGTGGCAGGGGAGGGGAGGGCTACTGTAGCTCAGTCTAAAGATGACAACGGTCTGCATTATGGTGGGCAATAATGGATGGAATAAATGGCCAGATTTGGTATCTATTTGGAAAGTAGTTGAAAGAAGTTCAGAAAGGCACAGGATCTTGGCCTGAGCGACTGGGAAGAGCTGCCTCACTGAGGTGGGGAAATTCAAGAAGACTGGATGGCTAAGAGGGTGTGATGCCCTGACTGGGCAGGTGGGGGCGTCAAGCAGGCGACTGTATGTGCAAGGTCAGGGGAGAAGCCTGGGAGCCAGCAGACACTAGTGCCCTTCATGACACGACCTAGAGAGGGAGCAGAACCACAGAAGGCAGAGAAAATCTGCAGCTGGAGGTAGACAAGGAGCCAAGGGTATCATGACCAAAGCCATGCTCTAAGTCACCAGCATGGAACTGGGCAGGTGGGCCCTCCGTCAACATGGAAATAGACGTTCCCTTGTGTCACTGCTGGGGTTTGTTGGTAACCTTTCCGTGGGGATTAACCTATCAGCAACTACTGCAAGTGTGTTTTGTTGCTGTTTTGTTTTCCAGGGCTCAGCACTGCAGAGGGAGATGGAGAAAGAGTAAGGGGTAGGGATGGGTCACTGTCAGGAACTTCCACTGAAGCTAGAAGTTAGCACGGGCACAGAACCTACCACACAGGAGACCTGAGAGTCAGTTTAAAGAACACTGTTAGCAGAAGATATTATAAAATCGAATGTTAAGTGTTTGCTATTCACCATCTGGGATGCTTCTGTGCTGGTGCTCACAACCAGCATTTCCTCTCAGCAACCTTACTACACCGAAACTAATAAATGGTTCATAGAGGCGAATTTTAGAAATTCCATAGCTAGCAATATTCAGACCAAATATGTGTGAACATCTGTCTGTGACATTTGAGTTTTCAGCCCTCAAGGGGCCAGGGGAGAAGTTTGGGTCTGTTCAAGGCAGGAGGTGAGAAGAGACACCCTCCTATTCCATAAAGTCATGATTCCCAAAAATGCTACGCCCTCAAGAGAAGATAGGTAGATCAAAAAAAAGAAAGAAAGTCCACCAGCATAAAGGGGACTATAGGACGTTTTCTCTGACTACCCTGAGCTGGGAGGTAGACGCATCTCTTTGGCTGTGGGGACAATGGACTAGTGTAGTACTCTACAACCTACCCCATTTGTCCAGGAACCCCTAGCCCAAACTGAGAAATTAACAAAACAGAAAGCAATCCCCCTCAGGAAAGAATAAACCTCATACCAGGCTAAAAAGGATACCACAGATCAATGGTAGAGAGGCTAAAAGCCCAAAGCACAAAAAGAGAGAAGGAAGGATTAGAAAGAAATAGGATTAGACAGCTGGGTGTGGTGGCTCATGCCTGTAATCCCAGCACTCTGGGAGGCTGAGGGGGACGGATCACAAGGTCAGGAGTTCGAGACCAGCCTGACCAACACGGTGAAACACTATGTCTACTAAAAATACAAAAATTAGCTGGGCATGGTGGCACGTGCCTGTAATCCCAGCTACTTGGGAGGCCGAGGCAGAAGAATCGCTTGAACCCGGGAGGCGGAGGTTGCAGTGAGCTGGGATGGCACCAATGCACTCCAGCATGGGTGACAGATCAAGACTCTGTCTCAAAAAAAAAAAAAAAAGGAGAGAAATAGGATTAGACTCAAGAACTTCAGGAGACAGAACTGTAAGATCAAGAAACTAAAAAAAGCATAAAATAGGCCAGGCGCGGTGGCTCACGCCTGTAATCCTGGCACTCTGGCACTTTGGGAGGCTGAGGTAGGCAGATCACTAGGTCAAGAGATCGAAACCATCCTGGCCAACATGGTGAAACCCCGTCTCTACTAAAAATGCAAAATTTAGCTAGGTGTGGTGGCCAATGCCTGTAGTCCCAGCTACTCAGGAGGCCGAGGCAGGAGAATCACTTGAACCTGGGAGGCGAAGGATGCAGTGAGCCAAGATCATGCCACTGCATTCCAGCCTCACCAAAGGGCAAGACTGTGTTTCAAAAAAAACTTAAAATAATTAGAGACATAAAGGTGGCGTTAAAAAAAAAAAATCAAGAGATGGAACAAAGTAAAGAGCTAAGAACCATGGAATGAGAAACTCTTAACATATCTCTGTAACTGAAGTTCTAAAAAAAAAAAAAAAAGAAAAAATCCAAAGAACAGAGAAGAAACATTTTTTAAAATAGTTGAGAAAATTACAAGATCTAAAGATACAACATTCTTCCCTCACAGCAAAAAAGACAGAGAAGGTACCTAAAAGGATAATTTAAATGAATCCAAACCAAAACACACTCCAGTGTAACCTCAGAGCAACAAAGACAAGAGCAGACCCTAAAAACAACTAGAGAGGAAAGAAGGTTACTCATGAGGAATGCTGTGAGACCGAGGGCAGCCCTCTGAAAATAAGACACACCGGAGGAAGACGGCTCTCTATACATGATGAAGAAATAACTGTTAATTCGGAGTCATTTAAGAATGAGAACGAAAGACATATTCAAAGAGAAAGCAACAACTACCAGTAGATCCCTGTGACAGAAGTACAAAAGGACATACTTCAGCAAGAAAATGAAAGCCAGAGGCCAGAAGGAATGGGCGCTGATAAACCTGGGTAACACGAAACAAGTACTGACCCTACACTGTTACTGTTTAATGCCAACAATCAAACCTGGAGGGAATTAAATGGCAGACAGGTACACAAGCAGAATATGCACATACCAAAGAGAATCAAAATGCTTAGGCAATAATACATGAGGTGATGGGGGAGATGAAGTTGCAAGGTTTCAAGATTCTTATTATCTGGGGAGACACTCGAGATACTAATTTTAGACCTTCCCGGGAATGAATGTTAAAAATTTAAAGACAATCGAGAAAAAAAAAAAAGTTTTTAGCATTCAAACTAAACCCTCATTCAAATGGAAGTTATTGGCAATGTTCTACATCTTGGATTAGGTGGTAGGTTCAGCAGTATTCTTTAGGATGTACATTATTGTTGGTTCATTATACTGCATACTGCATTAATAATAATTATTATTATTTTTTCTTTCTTTTTTTATTTTTTAGACGGAGTTTCGCTGTTGTTACCCAGACTGGAGTGCAATGGCGCGATCTCGGCTCACCGCAACCTCCGCCCACTGCAACCTCCGCCTCCTGGGTTCAGGCAATTCTCCTGCCTCAGCCTCCTGAGTAGCTGGGATTACAGGCACGCACCACTATGCCCAGCTAATTTTTGTATTTTTAGTAGAGACGGGGTTTCACCATGTTGACCAGGATGGTCTCGATCTCTTGACCTTGTGATCCACCTGCCTCGGCCTCCCAAAGTGCTGGGATTATAGGCGTGAGCCACTGCGCCCGGCCTGCATTAATAATTATTAAAGAAAAGGGAGGAAATAAGAAAAAAGAATAGGAAGAGAAGTGAAAGAAGCAATGAAAAAGCAAGGTTAAAAAAACCACAAAACTGATGAGGAATGAATTCAAACACATCAGTACTCTAAACGTGTTCACAGACTAAACTGACCAATTATAAAAGCAGCTACAAGCCATTCGACAGTCCTAAACCAGACAGACATCCAGGCTGAATTAAAGGGATGGCAGAAGTACTCCAAGCCAACACGAACCACATGAAAGTTGGTTATATTATTTTCAGATAACACAGACTGTAGGATAAAAATCATTATTAAGAACAGAGAAGGTCAAGAATGTAAAAATTCAGTAACTCCGATTACATGTATCTAATAACACAGCTGCAAAACATATAAAGTAAAAACTGAAGGTTACTAGGAGAAATTGATATATCCAAGAGTAAAAGGTGAGACGGACCCAACTTTCCTGGTAACACAGGTTATGGGACTGGAAAATGTACAGAGGATGCAAACACCACAATTAATAAAACTACTTTATTGAACATATGATTAAAAGTGATAACTTTAAAAAAAACAACCATAAAACCTGACCAGGAGCTAAAAAAAAAAAAATCAAACAAATAGTAAAGAATTAAATCATAG